GCTCAATGAGCCCGCCATGGGACACCACAGATCAATTGGCTCGGTCAATGAGTCAATTGCCTCTGTCAATCTTCCTCTGTGGCATCATGCAGGGATGGAAGTTTGTGAATTCGGACCTCCCTTTCGTCGCACATTTTGTCGTTGGCCATCATAAAATAATTACAGCATCCTATAAGTCTACCAATTTTAATTAAAATCGGCAGCCTAGAAAAAAAGATTGACGACTCGCCAAAGGTGATGGCTTTGGTTTTTGGCCAATATGAACATATATGAACATATGAACGAGAAATGCCCGATCGAGTGACTTCAGCATATCGAGCGTCAAAAGCGCCGCTGCAGCATCAGCGAGGAGAAAATGAAGGAAAAATGAAGTTTCCTCGAGATCCCAGAAGGGAATTCAGGTTTCCCCGCATTCATCGGGAAACGGGGTTTCGTAATGAACTTCCTTAATGAAAGGGGGAAGCTCGGAGGCACTTCGTCCTTTTATTTCCTCCTTTTTTTTTATTTCTGTTTTTGGGAGAATTTCCTTCCCGCCATTTTTTTCTGCTTTTTGCACGAAAGCGTCTAATTGCGCATCTAGTTTTTCTTTTTTTGCACGAAAAAAGGTAATTGCGTTTGCGAGCGACCTCAGCCTCGAAAATTGCATCTCGTGTTCCGTTCCGCGCGGAAATCGATGAAAGGAAATACGCCCGTGAAAGGAAAGAACCCGACAAAGGAGAGGAAATCATGAAGAATGAAAGAGGGTTCCGAGAAGCCCTTTGCGAGATGAGGAAGGTGGCTTCGAGGAAGGCGGCCCCGAGGAAGGCGGCCCCGGGCAAGGCGGCCTCGGAGAAGGCGGCCGAGGGGAAACTTCCCTAATCATACCGTAATTGGTACTCTGGAGAGTCGGACCGTGGAAAAAGGTGGAAAAAGGTGGAAGAATGCGGAAAGAGGTGGAAAGAGGCGGAAAGAGACCTCATAATTGGCTCTCCCGCCCTCGCGAAAGAGGAATACCCTCGTTAATGCTCGGAGATCTAGCACCTGACGTGACTTAAGGGCGGAGAAAAATAAAACAAGATAAGGGAGGATCTCCAAGCGAGGGGAGATCTCGATGGCTCGCATCCCTCCCATTTGGGGAGGGATGTGAGCCATAACTCAGGTTTTATGGCCGAGGCGTGCATGCTTTTGCCCCCCTTCTTCTTCCTCTTCCCCCCTTGGCTTCCATCCCGAATGGAGTTCCCTCCCTCCCCCCCTCCACCTCCTCCGAGACACTTTCCTTCCGGCATGTTTTGCGCGTTCCGATCGGATGATCGTTGAGGATAATTTTCAGGGGGAGTTATCGGGGGGAATTATCAGGGGAGGCTTTCGATGTTGGCACTCCCTTGAGGGAAGGCTCGAGTGCATTTCGTAATTGGATGGAAGCGGCACCATAATTTAAACAAAATTACCGATGCTGCTCCAAATATAATGTAATGCAATTATAAGTATCGCAAAACATATTTTTAATTAAAAAAAACTTTTATTGCAATGGAAATAAATGGAGAGAGTGGAAAACTTCCCGAGTGAAAATTTTCCCCCCGAATGGAGCGAGGAAAATTGATGACCTCTCGGGGGCGGGGGTGTGGCATGGGCGTGGCCCGGACACAAATTCCTCATGGAGTCGGACGTGATGAGTTGGCGATGGGTCATTTGCAGGGGAGGGAGGGGGGGAAGGAGGAGGAGGGGACACTTGGACACCTTCCAACCCATGTCCCGCCTTTTCTTTTCATCTTTTTTTTTTATATCCGGGTGGAAAAAAAAAACGACATTACGGGGTTGTTGAGCTCCGACACGCTGTGATAAAATCCGGCTTCGCTCCTTATCACGGCTTCATGGTCTTCATGGGTGCTGTGGCATGTCGTCAAGCATTTCTTCTCCCTTCCGTTTTTTTTCCGTGCCATTTTTCCGTGGCACTTCCCCTCCATTCAATTTTTTCCATGGCATTTCTTTTCCATTGAATTTTTTTCCAGTGCATTTCTATTCTATGGTATCCCTTTTCAATGTCATTCCTTTTTGGTGGCATTTCTTTTCCATTAATTTTTTTTCCCATTGCATTTCTTTTCGATGGCATTTCTCTTCCACGACTTTTCTTTTCCATGGCATTTCATTTCCTTTGCATTTTTATTCCCTAGACATTTCTTTTCCATTGCATTTCTTTTCCACGACATTTCTTTTCCATGACATTTCTTTCCCATGACATTTCTTTTCCACGACATTTCTTTTCCATGACATTTCTTTTCCATGACATTTCTTTTCCATGACATTTCTTTTATGACCGGTTTATTTAGGCATGCGCGGTGTTCAACTGGCGAGATTACTCAATTTGACGAGCGGCAAATTATATTATTTCATTGCACGGAGGAGGCACTCATTATTATTTTATTATGTTTATCGTAATAGGGATCATGATACTGGTACAAATAAAAACAAAGGACCTGTTACGCTCATGTCAACATTACTGCGAAATGTCATTCATTGCAAAAAAAGGAAAGGTTTAAGCGCCCGTGATATTGAAAAAATACATGATTATCAAATGATGATGAAAAATATAAAATGAAATGAATAAATAAAAAATAAAAAACAAATTGGCTCAAGACACCGGAAATTGCACTTCTGAAAATTTTCGCAGATCTGTCAGCGAAGTTGTCGGTTAGGCGATTCTGCGATAACGGACGTAAAATTTCGGCGGAAAAGTTTTTTAATTTATCATTTATTATTTTTTTTCGAATTACTTTTTCTTTGAAGGCTTTTTGAGCGCATCGAGGAGCTTCCTCCCGATAATGATTAGCATCCGCCCGGATAATCGGGGCTTCGAGGACATCAGTCATCGAGGACATGAGACTTCAAGGACATTACCTTTTTTCCCCGCGCCGCGAATTCTCAAAAGTTTCTTGCAAACTCGTCGATCGACTCTCGGCGAAGAAATTGGCAATGGCGATTCGTCCGGTTGCCTGCAACATAAAAGGTTATTTAAGGGTTATTTACTATAAAAAACGGTAATTTATTTCTCAATTAGGAGGGAATTAAATATTTAAGAAAAATTACTGCTTCCTCATCGAAAAACCAAGTAAATGCTCGACCTCTGTCAATGACAATGACAATGACAATGACAAGAAACGTTCAGCAATGAGTTGTTCAGTTTGAGCAATATTCATCAGGCAATAGTCCCTCCGAAAATTGCTTGAAAGGAGCATCCGACTTTTGAGGATCTTCAGATCCAAAAGATCCTCAGCCTTCCTGTAAAGCGGTCTTCCTGTCAACCGGTCTTCCTGTAATATTATTATTTACCCTCGGTGATGAGGGCCTCTCGGTGAGTGGCAGCATTCGAGACGAGTTGCGTGCCGCCCAGGAACGCGGCTTCATCCATCACGCTGGAATCACTGTCGGAGGAAACCACGAGGCATCACGGAGCGAAGAAACGTGGCCACGGAGCGAGAAACGTGGCCACCGAGCGAAGAAACGTGGCCACTTAGCGAAGAAAAAAAAATCACGGTCTTCGACGCGATCGTATCGAGTTGGTACATAAACATCTAATTGCATGGCCATCTCGCCGCGAACATCTAATTGCACGGACGCCCGAAAGACCTTCGTTTTATTTCTTCAGATTTCGTCTTAGAGAATCCGCGAAATTAAAGAGAATGCGGAAGTTTCCTCCTTAGCAGAATGGCGCAACCCATTCATCACCTTCCTTTTACGATTCCGAAAGAGTTTTAATCTACAAATGCGTCTCTCATCAGCAGACTCTCTTGCGAATAAATCATGGAAGCGCCATGAAGCACCACGAAGCACCACGAAGCACCACAAAGCACCATGAAGCACCATGAAGCACCATGAAGCACCATGAAGCACCATGAAGCACCATGAAGCACCATAATTACTTTTGATTCCAGAAATTTTGTCATTACCATTTTACGACGGGATCGAAACGACAGGATTGCATCCAGCGGATCGTTCCACGAGGGCATCCAGCGGATTCACGACGGGATCCGCTGGATGCAATGAATGCTCCGGAGCGCGGAAATGCTCGGGAGCGGAGAAAAGAACTGCGGGCGATGATCAATGAGTCGAGAGCAAAGCCTATATAAAGCCTCATTCCGGGTTCCTTTCTCATTTTCGAAAAAAGGGGGAGAGACGGGGAGGATCCATCCATCATGCAGAGAGAAAACTCCCCTTCCTCTTCTTCAATCCGAGCCTTTTCTCTTTAATGGCCGAGAAAGGGGAATTCCCCGGAAGAATTCCCCATGTTTTCTTGGGAGAAAATTGGAATCGCTCGTCCCGTCATTCCGGATCGGCCGACTGGAAAATTTCTCCTCGGTCTGTGCCGCGTTCCCTTTTCGGGGGCGTCGATGGGACCAGAATGACAGCTAATTAGGTGATTTCGGGGAAGGGAGGGGGAAGGACGGGGAAGGGCGGGGAAGGACGGGGAAGGGCGAATCGCTCGGGACGATTTCGTTCACCGAAAATGTTCCCGGAACGCTGGAACGAGAACTTTTCGGGGGCAGTACATTGCGAGGAAGAAGAAAAGGGCAGAGCAGTGTCTTTGGAAGGAGGCCAAGATGGGAAGGCTGGGGGAAGGCCGGAGTAGGCTGGGGAAGGCCGGGGTAGGCTGGGGAAGGCGGGGGGAAGGGCTGGCATGTATAGGCTCCCATTGCCCTGTGTGTACAAGGGCAATGTCTCTTTCTTATGGCACTCGGCCTCGTTCTTATCTCTCGTCGATGCAAGGAGTGTTGCCTCTGGGACGTTTGCTCTCTCTCTCTCTCTCTCTCTCTCGGTCCGGGGGAAACGAGTCGATACGAAAGAGAAGCGGAAGGACGTGGTAAATGAGGAGGGGAATGGGGAGCTGTCAGTTGAGGGGAAAAAGATGAAAAGAAACAATTCCCCCGCCAGATGCGCCACGCTTTTTTCTTCTTCCTTTAATAGATTATATGAGAAACCGTGAGGAAGAGGCCGGCAACGATTTCCGATGTCCCCGAGAGAGAGAGAGAGAATCGGTCCGTTTTCCCGGCCCGGAGGGATCGAAGGCGGTATGGGGACGAGTGTCGACGGGAGATAGGCCGAGAATACCAATGAAAGGGAAGAGACATCCATCCTGATTATTGCTCTTCATCCCGAATGGATCCTCGGACATATAGGCCCCCATCTGCGGAGGAAGGAGCTTTCCTTGACAGTGCGAGGACGTGAGCGCCATGACTTAGGCGGGCCCGCCCGTCCCGGCCTCCCGCCTCATCTGCCTCCATCGCAGGCTCTTAATTTTCCTCTCCGGCGGGGATGGAGGGGAGCTCGGATGGGGTGGAGGGGAGCTCGGATGGGTGGAGGGGAGCTCGGATGGGTGGAGGGGAGCTCTGATGGGTGGAGGGGAGTTCGGATGGGGTGGAGGGGAGTTCGGGTGGGGTGGAGGGGCTCGGGGGAGGGATGGTTTATGAGCATCGTTTGAGCAAATATGTTTCTGATCGAACTGGGGGGCATCATTTGAGCGGGAAGTGTTGCTCAATTGTGCCAATTTGATGGTATACAGAAACTTTCGAGGCTCTTTTTTATGGCAGGGTTGCTGAATGCCCCCTGCGATCGAGCGCGATCTCGGCACAAAAGGGGGGTGCATTCCTTTCATCCGTGAAAACTCTGGGGTCTGGTGTGGATCTGCGAGGATGATGTGAGGGGCGATGTGAGGGAAAAGTTACTTCGGAAACGTTTCTCGGGCGGGTTCCTGCGGGAGTCGTTCGCCGAGTGTCGACGATGTCGCGAGAAGAGACGACACGACGAGATCCGTCAGTTCTTACAGCCGATCTCGGTCGCGTTAAGGTCCGTGGCATCTCGGCCCCGCCACGAAGAAGCGACACGATTGCCATTAGGGCGGATCCTGCTTCCTTCGGGGTGCTCGCCTCGAATGGGCGTCCACTTCCCTTAACTGCAGTGGTGGCTATTATTCATACGGCATTGCCGTTGCCGAGGGATGCGAGGGATATCTGTCGTCGCGCAATGGACGATGAGGTCTGACGGTTAGCGTCCGGCTTTATGACACGCATTAACCCAAGTCGGCGAGAAATCCTCTGCTCAAATGGCAGGGAAATTCGAATGGGATGGAGGGAGTTCAGGTGAAGTGGAAGGAAGTTCGGCTGGGGTGGAAGGTAGTTCGAACGGGGTGGAGGGGAGTTAGAACGGGGTGGGAGGTAGTTCGAACGGGGTGGAAGGAAGTTCGATTGGGTGGAGTGGAGGCCACAAGTGGGATCTCAACCATTAATAAGAGAATGAGAGATGGATATCTAAATGGGATGGATGGGAAGAGGCAGGGGTGATTCATGAGGTCTGAGATAATGAATGCTCCAATGTGTTTCTTCCCCGTCTCCTCGTTATCAGGAATATTTTGGGTCGGCTCTCCCTTTTCTCGTTCGATCGCTCCCGCCGTCTCTGCCAGGTGCAATTTCACCTCGGATGGGGACGGGTGGTCGGGGTGGGGGGGAGTTCAGGTGGGGGGGGAGGATTCTCGTTCCGAGCGGAAGGCGATTTATCTGTCTTAAGGGGCTGGCTGGTTTCCGCTCCGTCTGGTCGTAACTGGCTGGATCCGGATCGACTTCCTTGCATTTTTTAGCCCGGGAATCAAAGGAATTGAGCCTGCCACGCTTGATCGTTTCCCGTTAGGCGAATGCGTTTGAAGTTCACCGTCTCGCACGATCGAGTAACGTAATCATCAGCGTGACGCGTCAGCTTCGGACGACTCCATCAGCCGTATGAAGGCGGTCTCGATTGCTGGAAGACCATTAAAAAGTCGCATGAATCATTTCTTTATCTCCTCGTTCGAGGCGCCGGCGCCGGCGATAGCGGCATCCAGACATCGACCGATAGCGACTTTCAATCCATCCAGCCGATAAGTAAATATATAAACATTTTATCGAATGAAGTATGCGGTGATTCGGAACGGAGTCCCGGCTGTTCCCTCCGATTTTTTTTTTTTTCCGTAATCGCGACGCGGGTTCGGCCTGGAAACAGGACTGAATAAATACGCCCGGATTTCCCTGCCGAAGTCTGTTGACATTCCGGCAATAAGGGCCGTCGAAGCCGAGGACCGTGTACAATCGGGCCTCGCTCCTCATCCCGGTCACGGGCCGGATGAGGGATGAACGGGCACGCAACATAACGATCGCATCGACAACGAGATGCGCTTCGTGATTCTCGACGTTTCTTCGGCAGGGATGAAGAATTTTAAGCGATTCGGATGCTCTATTGGCAGCATGAGTTTTATGCCTATACTTTTAGGTCAGTAAAGGTTAGTAACGGCTAGTAACGTTTCGTAAACGCGACGTTTGTCCAGAATAACATTAGCATAAAAATAAGCGATGAACTGTACGAGCAAAGAGACGATGGAATCGTCGGTTTCAGGTGATGAGGGAGAAGGCGGGAGGCGACCGGGAGAGATGAAGCGGGGAGGGCGGTGGTCCTGGCTCCTCCTGTCCCTCGTCTGCCTCGTGGGAGCGGCGGGGGGGAGCCCGGAGGCGAAGAGGCTCTACGACGACCTCCTCTCCACGTACAATAGGCTCATTCGGCCGGTGGGGAATAGTTCCGATCGGCTCACGGTCAAGATGGGGCTCAGGTTGTCGCAGCTCATCGATGTTGTGAGTTTTTTTTTTACGTTTCCTGGGGTTGGGGTGGGTCGTGACTTCTCTGTCTTCTCGAATGTGAAATGATTTCGGAGGAAATTGAACTCTCTTCTCCTTTTCCCGCAGAACCTCAAGAACCAGATAATGACGACAAACATGTGGGTGGAGCAGGTGAGTCCCTGTCTTGTCCCTCTTGGGTTGAATGGAGTCTGAGGGGAGACAAAGGGGGGGGGGGGGGGGGAGGATTCCTCTCAGTCAAAAGGCATGAATAGCGCCAATTTCGTGGAGGACCCCCTGCCGTTCCATAATTGAAGAGCATCTCTCGATCGTGCGGAAGGGAGGCGAGAGGGAGGCACGAGGGAAGTACAAGGGAGGCACGAGGGAAGTACAAGGGAGGCACGAGGGAAGCGCGAAGATTCATCACGGAATTGTATATTTGATGAACCTGCGGTCATGGGGCTTTTCCCCGAGGAACCAACCCATCTCCTAATTGGAGCCGGTGCACTCGCGAATCCTCGCGGAAAAAAAAAGCCGGATGAACTTTGATTACATTCGACATGCCGGATGATTGTCCGGCCTGGGGGCATCGCAGTCCCGCGCAGCCGGGACGGGATGAGAAGGGGAAGAGGGAAGGAGAAGGGAAACAGGGAGAAAGAAATCTCATTTCCCAGGCCCTTATTCCTCTGTAATGTTCTCGATGGATCACGAAGGAGATGATGATGATGATGGTGATGATTATCGAACCAGGAGAGCTGGGTATAATGAAATAGGTCATTTCAAAAGGGACACTAAAAAAAAGAAGATTAATGCACGTAATATCGCCCGATCTCCCTCGGAAGGGGGCTTTGCTTTTCGCGGTCGAAGGACACGAACGGCTTGGATGCCGTCATGCTGGGATGCCGTCGGGCTGGGATGCCGTCGGGCTGAGATGCTTCGCATTTTCCCAAGGGAGGCATCTATGCAATCCGATTTATCCTCATTCTCATTTATATCTTGGGCTGTCTTCGAGGGTGTATGATGGATCTTTCGGGGCGCAGTGTGATATTTCTCTCTTGGGGGCTTTTCTCCATCCGCGGGGTCGTTATCGCGATCGCAGATCCGCCTTCTCCATTTCCGCCCGCTCGTGCATTTAAATTTTTATCGCGGGTCGGGACCGGTCCCATTTGCGCGGATAGGGACAGGTCCCATTTGCGCGGGGCTCGAGGGGAGCCCGGCGGGGAGCGGTCTTCGATGCTCCATTACCGTCGCTTTGTGACGCTCGTCTTCGTCGCAAGGACCGGAGTAATGAAGGGTCCTTTGCTGATTACGATTTTTTTTTTTTACTCTCTTTTTTTTACTGCCGTCTGGGAAGGAATGGCACGACTATAAGCTGAAATGGGATCCCGAGGATTATGGGGGAGTGAAGACGCTGTACGTCCCATCGGAGACCATCTGGCTCCCCGACATCGTCCTCTACAACAAGTGAGCCTCCCTCCATTTCTCCCGACCAGCTGTGTCCCCCCCTCCCCTCCCGCACACGTGCCATCCTCCGATCTGGCCATTCTTCTCCTCGCAGTGCGGACGGGAACTACGAAGTGACCATCATGACCAAGGCGGTGCTGCACCACTCGGGGAAGGTGACGTGGAAGCCCCCGGCCATCTACAAGTCTTCGTGCGAGATCGACGTGGAGTACTTCCCGTTCGACGAGCAGACGTGCTCGCTCAAGTTCGGGTCTTGGACCTACGATGGGTACCTGGTATGCCTCGTGGGCCCGTTGCGACCCGCTTTCTGAATCGATCGCGTTTTGCATAATTCACGCATTTCTTGGTTGTTTTTTTTTTGTTCGTTTTCATGATCGTTTGACGTCTCCGGGCCGCCTTCAGTTCGTTTCCGCCTTTCTTCGTGCATTTTTCATTCGTTTTTGGAATCCCTCTCCATCTTTTTGCCTTCCCTTGAAATTTTTTTCCTTTTATGGACTCTAGGTCGATTTGAGGCACATCAAGCAGGAGCCGAACAGTAACTACATTGACTACGGGATCGACCTGGGCGAGTATTACCTCTCGGTGGAGTGGGACATCATGAAAGTCCCGGCGACTCGGAATGAGAAATACTATTCCTGCTGCGAGGAACCCTATCCTGGTGAGGCGATAAAATTGAATATTCGCGAGGAGGAACGATGCCAAATTCCGAGGGCAAATTCTTTTTGGCACCCGGCCCCGTTGCCCACATTTCGGCCGTTTCATCGGTCGGCCGTGATTAAGAGGAGACGGAGGGCGACTTCCCGTAATTGCAAGGCGAAACCGAGTAACCCTGTTACAGGGAGAGGACCTCGAAGGCCGAAGAGGGAAGGAAGAGGGAGGAAAGAGGGGTAGGAAGACTCCCTCGTGTACGTGTTCGTTACTTGGGAAAGGAGCTAAGGAAGATGAGTAGGGAGCCGGGGGATGCACGCTTCTGTATGAGTATATTCTCCGCCGGAAACTTTCCTCCTTTATCGCCCACTCCGGCTTCCTTTGTTCCCTTTTCTCGAGGGCGAGACCTTAATGTGTTGGGGGCTAATGACATGTTCTCGTATTAGGAGGGTGGAGAGGGCAGCTGCACCGTCTCTCCATTAGCCTCCTTCCATCATTTCTTCCCCTTCTCCCTATGCACGACACGTGCCCCGCGTTGCGAGGTCGGCGACGACGTGGAATTTGCTAGTCGGTCGACTGCTTTGGGGCTTAATTCATGGTCGCATGAAGCGCATCTGATGACCTTTTTGGCGCTTCCCGGATCTAATGCCAACCAAGCCTGGTGACCTTTCCTCGTTAGGTAAACTCCGAGTATCTTCTTTTTAATAGTAGTTGCAACTCATTCCACAGCCTCCTAACCTCTTCGTGTCGGGAGGGAGTGGGGGCAGCTTCTGTTCAGATAAGTTTCAATGCGATCTCCTCGAGCTACATTGCGAAGATGGGGTCCTTCGCTGCGAAGGGGCTCGGTCTTTAAAAGTCTCGTACTTATTTTTTAATGCTGTTTGTATGTTAAAAGGATTGAAACCCAGTTTGTCGAAAATGATCCGATCGATTGCCCCCCATCTCTGATTAGAGATGCTACCCCTGAGAGTTTCTCGGAATTTATCTTCTGGGAAATTTCCAGACGCAGTTTCTGCTCTTTCCCATTTCCAACTAATTTGAGGTTCATCAATTTAATTCCAAATGCTCTAAGTTCTGATTATACTTGAAATTCAGACGCCATTTTCATAAATTTCACGTTTAGAGACATGGCAACCATACATTTACAATTTATTGTCTGGATTTATTTTCTCAAGTTTTTTTTCAGTTAAACGGAGGAGTTTTCAAACATCTCATTTTTCCAATACGTGATTTTCATTGCTTTTTTTTCTTAGAGCGGAAAATTCAATAACTCAAAATTATATCGAAAACAATCCACACATAATGCTTGTTAGAGGACTCTCGGGGCAACCCCGAGAGCCCCCTAACAAGCCTAATCAAACTATTGTAAAATCCTTGGCAGAAGAGGGGCTCCAGACAGAAGAAAGATACAAAAGAAAATATACCAACCTCTAGGCTAGATAACCGATGCTATTATACCGGTCGTCAGGGGGTGTACGGCCGGTCTGGAGCGCAAACTAATTCAACCTGTTTCTTCGGTCAACCTATGAGGCCAATATTTTAAAAAAGAGATCGGAGGAACTCCCCATTCCACGAACAATTCCAACTGAAGTCCCTCTGTACATGCCATCGACTGCCAATGATTAGCTCAGAGTATCTTACGACAAGGCTACTCGAACTAAAAGCAAGAGCTATAGGCCAAGGGGTCGACAAGCGATGTTCGGATGGCGATGCTCAAATTGTCCATGGTGTCTTATTCGTTCATATGGGCGTCAGATTGACCTACACCCGAATGGTTGAGCTTCTTTCTCGTTCTGCTTATCTCTTGTTGGGTGAAAGCTTTTAGCAATCTGGTTTTGAAATATCTCCTCTCTCTTTCTCTCTCTCTTCGTATTCATATAGTAATAAGAATGGAGGAAAATAGGCATGCAACTCAGTCAAGCAAGCGTTGAATGTCAATAACTTCTAACTAAACAGGAAGGCCATAAAATCCATTCAAAAGGGAGTGATAGCGAGAATGAGCCTATTACGTTCTGAAAGCTCTGCAGTATCCTCATCAAGGGCACGGCCCTTCTAAAACTTTCAGAGCAGATAGATCTTTGTCGGAATTCCCGATAGAGCGATGGAAAGTTAGAAGTGGAAAGAGTATGGCTGAAAGGGAGTCAGATGACTGCGCCCATAGCTACAGTCCATCTCACAACCACCAAAGACGCAATTTTCCAAAGGCTGGAATGTGCAAAGAGAGCTCACGCTTCATGCTCCAGGAAGGCAACCAGTGCAACGCGTACTTTGGAGGTGGGTGTGACGATTCTCATGGGAGCAGCCAACAAGAAAATATTGTTACGGAGGGAAAGTGGGAGATGGATGGCATGCAAGGTCGAAAGAAGCCAAGGAACGGCCGGGAATTGAACCCGGGCCTCCTGATCGCCAGTCAGGTGTGCTACCATTACACCACCGAACCCCGGACATTCAGTTGAATCTCTCGATGCCATCCTCATCCGTCACAATATGCTCTACCGGGAACCGTGACCGAAAGATCTCTCTGCAAACCAGGTTCTTAACGAAAAGAACAGACAAAAAGGATAAATACTGCTGCACTGAGGATCCTTAATGGGAGAGTTATATATATATACATGGGATGATCAAAAAGTTCTAAGCCTAGGGTACTTCCAGTTGCATTGCACTTTTTTTTTCTCTTCTCTTGAGAAAACAGATGTCTTTGATGATCTGCAAAAATCTCATCTTATTTGTCTGTTAAGGACGCCTACTACTAATTTTTTTCGAAGTGCTACCAAAGGGTCTGCTTAAAGGTACTAAAATTTAGGCGAATGCTATGATGAGTTTTCTAGCCTCTAAGGAGTCGATATCCCTGCAGATCTTTCATCAGATAAGAATATAGAGTCCTACTGATACTTCTATTCTAGCATTCATCTCAATTTAATACCCCTTCAGGGTATTAAAATCTCCAGGGAGATCGGCTCCTTAGAAGCCATAAAATTTATCATAGCATTCACATAACTTTTTATATCCCTTCAGCAGACCCTTTGGTAGCACATAAAAATAATTAATAGAAGTTGTCATATACATATACAGTATATATATATATATATATATATATATATAACTCTCACAGTAAGGGAAAGCTCTCTCTCTAGCTATTGCAATGTGCATCTATGGTGGTTGTGAGATGGACTTAAGCTGTGGGTGCAGTCATCTGACATCCCTGCAGCCATACTCTTCCCATTTCTAACTTTCCATCGCCCTATCGGGAATTCCGAAAAAGATCTATCTGTACTGAAAGTTTTAGCAGGACCGTGCCCCTGATAAGGATCCTGCAGAGCTTTCAGAACGTGATGGGCTCATTTCGCTATCACTTCCCTTTTAATTATTGTCATCCTGTTTGTTAGAAGTAATTGGCATTCAACATTTGCTTGACCGAGTTGCATGCCCATTTTTTCTCTTTTATTAGTCGACAAAGACGGGTGTCTGTTGCTGTTGGCTAGCTACGTCCAGTGCCTTGCTTGGGAGTAAGAGAATACGTTTTAATTAATTGGCCTTCGTGCCAATTATTTCCTCATCACATACTGTATATATAGATTACTATATATACAGTACTCATCGCCAAAAATAGCACAACCAAGAAGGAATTGCTCGAACTTGATGAAGCTTGGTAGACAAGCTCGTGCTAATGTACTATGAAATCGATTAGAGCTTCAAGGGTGTGAGATAAATATTCACGGGGGAAACTTGCCAAACACTCTAATTACAGCAGCGGCTATGGGGTTATAGGAATCGCCCAAAACGGTAACCGAGCAGGGTTTTATTGATGAAACGTGGTTTGAACACAAAAAATCGAGCAAAGTTTCGAGGTCATGGCAATGCAGAGAAAACTTGTGGAATGCCTTAGGAATGGGGGAAGAGGGCGGCGCCGATGAAGGATCCGCTTTCTTTTCCCTTCTGAGAGGGAGTCTCGAGATGAAATCTCTGAAGGCAATTTGAACAAGTTGTTAGAGAGTTTCGGCGATATGATCGGGATGCTTAGCATGCATCAACTTGATGCAAGCATCAGCCTGATGCATGCAGATTTCATGATACATTCCCACGAAGTTGTGCGCCAAATTCCATCAATATCGCTCCACTCCCTCTTGGTCGTGCTTTTCTTTTTGGTGATGAGTGTATACTCCCACCGCTCAACTTGGCTATCACACATTTTCTGGTGCTTGATTTACTCCTACCTGCATGAAAAAATTCTTACATGCGAAAAAGATAATTGCTCAAAACTTTTTTTTTTGCATGCAACTGAAGTGGTTAGAAAATGCGCGGTTGTGCCCGTCTCTCTTCTGTGTCTCCCCAGACATCCGGTTCAACATCACATTGCGCCGGAAAACGTTGTTCTACACGGTGAACCTGATCATCCCGTGCGTGGGGATCTCGTTCCTGTCCGTGTTGGTCTTCTACCTGCCCTCCGACTCGGGGGAGAAGGTCTCCCTATGCATCTCCATTCTGCTCTCACTCACTGTCTTCTTCCTCCTTCTCGCCGAGATCATCCCACCGACGAGTCTCACCGTGCCCCTGCTGGGGAAGTACCTCTTGTTTACGATGACGTTGGTGACGTTTTCCGTGATGGCGACGATCGGGGTGTTGAACGTGAACTTCCGCTCTCCCTCCACCCACCGTATGTCTCCGTGGGTGAAGACCCTCTTTATCGACTTCCTCCCGCGGATTCTCTGCATGCGGAGGCCGGACTCCGAGGAGCACGCCAGACGGCTCAGCATCGAGTTGAAGGAGGCACGGCGATTCGAGAAGGGCGGCTTCCACACCTGGGACATCCGTATGCACGCCGTGGCCGGCTCCCATTTCACCTTCAGTCTTCCAAGTGCGGACGGGACGGGGGATCGCCCCACGTCCACGTCCTTTTTCCCGCCCTCGTCCATGGATCTAAGCCCGATCCGGGAACGCCGCCATGCTCCCGAGGTGGAACGGGCTATCTCCAGTGTCCAGTTCATCGCTCAACACATGAAGAACATGGACCGATTCTCCAATGTGAGTCACATATCCTGGCATCGAATCGTCCGATTGAGGGTTTTCGGCTAAAGTCAGGGACATCTTGATTGTGGACGAGAGAATGATGGGAAAAAAGTACCTATTTTCTTTACTATTCTAAGAATGGGAATCAAAGTCTACGAATTGAGCGCAGAGGAACGTACAGTTAAACAACGGCTCTCCGAGACTCTGTTATCCGAAAGACCAACAAGAAGCAGACAAAAGACAGCCGTACCATGTCACAGCTGTCCTCAGCTGTTTTTCTTTTTCCACAAGCTGTGTACAATAGAATCTATCCTGTCAAACTTTGGATTGGAAGCAAGCTATCTTCCATCAGGCTGAGTTATTTCTTTTACTTTCCCATCCCCTGAATCTGCCTTGGGTAAACCGGTTGCGGTGTTAGGTCACGCGATGCAACCTGAAAATTGCATGAAAAACTTTGTGAATGCACAAAATATGCCGAAATCTTCCATATCCGAGAATGTGGATATCCTAAAGTCCCTTTCCACTAATTACTTCGGATATATTCGAGGTTTTATCGAAAGAGGTAGATATGTAGGTTTTTCAGATCGTTAGACTTCAACTCCGAACAGTGTTTCGATGAACAAAGGTTTCCTTTCGATGAACATTTGCTATATACGTCATAATTAAGCACCTGAGCGAGCTACAAGATTTAGAGGCGTCGTCCCCCTTAATGAATTCGTCGCGTTCTCGTCCTGAAAGATGATGCCATTACCGCGACATGAATATAGACAAAAGTTATCAGAATGACAAGGAAAGCAGAAAAAAAGGAAATGAAAATGGAAAGGGAGATGGCGTGAAGAGAACGCAATCGGACGGGGCGAGCTTACAAGATAAGAGAAGAGAGGGGAAAAAAAAGAGGTGATGGCACCTCAGGTGAAGCATGATCGATCATTCCCCGGGCACGAGAAGGAAATGAAAAACGGTGCAATCCGGGGAACGCATCCCGGAATGGAGTCAACCATGCGACCGGCCGATGCACGGAGGATCCACGACGTCGATCGGGATTGTCTCCCCAGAACCATTATAATTCGGGCACGACGGCTTTCAATAGTCTTTCTCTGAGGCTTCTCTCTTCCAGAAATCCCTCCAAATCCGTATGATGCTCTTTTGTATTCACTTTAATATCTTCTTCCTTCTCCTTCGCAGAGGATCTTGCGAGTCTTGCGAAAGGGAAACAGCTTATTCTTTCCCTCAAAATGTTTTCCACCTTCCCAAAGCCCATCTCCTTTTGCGATGCGGGAGAGCTCTTCCTGCGGCGAGCCAAAGATGAATAGAAACATGAGGGTCATTGTGTGCTTGATCCCCGTTGATGAGAGGCGACGAGGCCTGCAAAGAATGTGGAAATGTGAGGCAGGACATTAGATTAGAAGTCCCCCTCGAATCCCATCTTTCATGTCCTTGAGATCGTTCTTTTTCCCGTCTTTCCCGGGCAAAAGGAGCCCGCGTCTGTCAAGCACTTTCTTTGATTCTCCACCGAGTCTCCTTTCTTCGTCCTCCCTTTCTCTCTCCCCTTTCTTGGGGAATGTCACTTTTGGGACCTGCCTCGCACATTAATCGCTTTCCCGGGAGAGGAGGGGGATCGATGCCAACATTTCCCTCATCTCTGTTTCTTTCCTCTCTCGAGCCTCACACGTTATAGGGCGTTCCCATTCATGCACTCGCAGATGATACAGCGCTCGAGGAATATAATTACGACGGTGACGTTGTGGTATCGTGTTACCCACGAAAAAAATGTTCATACCATGAATGCAATTATCCTTTTGTCGTAAAAACATATTCTTTACGTGATTCTCCGACTCATCGCTTAAGAAAAAGGCAAAACAAAGAAGTTTAGCGATAATGATGACTTATGCTACCGAAACTGTAGAACAGAATACTCATCGATTGCGGTTTCAAGGTCGTAAAATGAGGCTGAAAAGAGAAACGGAGTAATGACGCGAATACAGACTCCCTACGGGGTGATCGTCAGTCACCAATGACGCAAATGCCAACTGGCACGAATGAAGACTACTGCCATGAGTCAATTGGCATGAGTTGGGTGCCTGGAGAGTTTTCTTTGTCTTTCCATACCCTTGATACTTCAATCGATTTTTCTACTTACTGGGACAAGTTCCTTTGACCAATTTCGTTGCTCAATTCCTTCCTGGCGTAACATTTTTGCTAATGAGCAAACGCTACTGATGATGCAGGCTCTACGGATCTCTTATTTTCCTCGCCAAAGGAAAAAATGGGGGCGTAAAAGAAACTGCTCAAAGCTCAATCCAGTAACGAGCTTCCTCCGAGTCGATACCTTCATATTGATGATCCAAGCGAAATACGTTGGATATTAAAAACGAGAGGGAGAGGGGGACACAGAGGGGAAGACTTCATTTGGAGGTTAGAGGCAGCAGATTTCACAAAAACGCTGACAAAAGCTTTGAAGTGGCGCACAAATAGACAGACAGACAGACCGACAGAGAAAGAGAAAGAGATCAACCATGAGAAAGATAGGGCTATATTTTCAATACTAGTCTTAGTAGCCCTTTGAAAATATGGCCCATAATGACTTGTAGATGACGAAAAGTGCCTTTTTTGTTGCCTGCGATGCACTATTTCGCCATTAAAAAAATGAAATTAGCTGTCGTTCATTTAGGCTTAGAGCGCTAGCTCCGATTCCGTCCCCCAGTGTTGCCGGATATCATGTCGGAGTTTTGTCAGATTCATGACTTCTTCGCTTTTGTAATTTAGGAGACATTATTGTGCTGAATTTTGTGGGATGAGCTAATATTGAAACGGTGGTTTGCAGTGACCGATCGATTTGGTGAAGTAAGGAGATATTTCAACCGAACATCCCTAAATTAACATGATGGTGGCCAGCTTACATGCCATGCTTTTTAAATACATTTTCTTCTTGGAACGTGTAGAATCTTGAAACGGTTGACGATCAAACCGTCAACCGACAAACCGACGGGAATTTTGAATAGGCCTAGTGCTCCCCGACCGTACCTAACGGCCTAACGTTACACGTCCTCAACTAGGTGTCTCGAAGACCAGGGATTAATCCTTAAGGGCCCATAGGTCGAGTATCGAGTTTCTTTGCACGAAAAAAGGTAGGCCTAGACCTGACCCGAAGACAGTCCGTCGGTTAGGCCTGGGCCTAACGCTAGTGAGTTCCGTAAAGAAGGGAGGAAGGTGGGGAATGAGGTTGGGGTTGAAAAAAAGGGAAAAGGGAAAGTCGGTTTTCATGTCACTACATTAGAGATTGATGCACTTTGGATGCAGTGCCGCCAGACGTGAGACTTCTTCCCCTCCTTCCACTGGATTGTACATGTTTCATTTTCTTATGAAAATATTCCATTTTTCCTCTCGAGAAGACTAAGCTTAATGAAAAAAAGGACATATGCGCTTTCTGCTCTTCGGCTCTGCCATGTGTCACCGCCATCTGGGGTCTCCTTTCATTCGGTATAGATAGTGGAGGACTGGAAATACGTGGCGATGGTGCTGGATCGGCTGTTCCTCTGGCTATTCACGATCGCCTGTGTGGCCGGGACGGCGGCCATCATCCTCTCGGCCCCGAGTCTCTGGGACACCCGGCGGCCCATCGACATCAAATACTCCAAACTCGCTCAACGACGATTCCGACACCTTCTCCCAGAGGAAGACTGGGTTTAAAAGTGACTCTTTTTTTTTTAAATCTTACTCCAGGGCGTTGTTGGTTCCTTCTCCGCCGCTCATCGACAGGTGATAAGAAATAAAGTTTCCTGCAACGTTTACACCTCAGTGCTCAAAAGCGTCACGGAAGAAGACAGGGGAGAACAATATAAGTCCGCCGATAGGGATGGAACTTCGTTTCTTTCTATTATTGTTGAGCAAATCATCACGTGTCTGTGATTCGGGAAACGGTGTCAAGCTTCGGACAGTACTATGATGTATTGTATCCCTCGGTGCCAAATGAACCAAAGAACAAAGATATGTGCTTCAAAGTTGTTTCTTGCTCATGTTATGCTCATCCAGGGAACGGCACTAACCTTTGGCATTGGGATGATGGAGCAGTCGAAGGAAGAAAACCGAATAAAATCAATTGCAGGGTTCTCACACCGGCGAAGTTTTCTTTTATTATCCCGATGAAGGGAAGTGTGGAAGACGAATCTCCTCCCACCGATGAGACTGACGATGAAGTAAGCCAGCGGGCGATCTTCGATTGGACGGGAGATAAAGCAGGGAAACTCCAGCCCTCTAAGCCCAAGTGGAATTGAAGCAGCCGCCCGTTAAATCCACTACTAAACAGAGGATATTCCCATGTTTGGGGAGATGTCCTCTCGAGATATTTTCGGTCGGCTAGAACTGCAATATTTATCCCTCGATATCACGAATGTGACATAGCAGACTACAACAAAAGCTTCCGACCGAATCGAATACGCCCACATCAGTCACCTCGTCTACAGTGCGAGGAGAGTGCCTTCTTTCCCTCTTTCCTCCCTTCTCTCCAAGGTTAGTCCGTCCATTGTAATCCTGAAACGAGTTGTAAGCCTACTCAAGTGCTCATAAATCACAGCGACGATGGCATTCGCGTAGATTTCGTGAAGTGCCATGCTCTCGAGACCTTCAATCATCTACAACACCAAGCTTCCGGCCTAGAAAGGGAAGTCTTACTCCACGTAACTCGATGAAAAGTAACTCGATAATGCGATTTGGGCCTTTTTTCTTTTATGCCTTATATATTCCACTGGGGCTTTCCGCAGAGTTTTCATTCAACAACATTCAGAATTCAATTGTTGCCGTTTGCCGAAGTGGTGGGAAACGAGGGGAAAACTGGGTTACTTATAACCACAGCTGTAAGAGAACCACCACCAGACAGGTAGAACAACATGCAAGGGAACTGTACTGGAATTTACGGAAGGGCCAGGCATCGTACGAATGCATTTCCTCGTGGTAAACAGTCCGGATCGGTTTCACGCCGACGCAGCGATCCGAGCGTCCCCATTAAAAATCTACGAATGTGCCCAGAATGACGAATAAAATGCTCCCTAAAGAAACAGAATCCCATCTTATGCGATTAAAAATTCATTTGTTGAGGATTGATGCTGTGTTGACGGGAGAACCAGGAAAAAAAAAAGGCTTATTATAGAATTGACTCAACGGTGAATCCCATCAGACAGGCAATCTATAGGCAATACAGGCAGCTCCAGGCCAGACGAAAATCCTGGGCCTTTTCGAAGGCGAGGACGATGACGTGGACGAAGAGTCGATAGGATGCCTTCAGGGACCCCTCGGTGTAGGCTGAATAACACAATTCTCGTGGACTCGTGTTTTTCCTTCCGAGTCCGACTGGATTCCCTGAAGATTTCCACTCTCGCCAGAACGGGGCCGACGTCATCCGGCAAGCACATTTTCTTAGAAAAGCCCTTGTTATTTGCCAAACGAAATGAAGCCCCTCCTTATTATGTAAAGGGGTTGGGGGAAAGAAGCCAAGAGTTGATATATTCCGCCAGGAGGTAGAGTGCGCCGAATAATTGTTTATTTTCCGAGGTTTTATGAAACTCAGCAGAGAACGGAGGCCTTCATCACCCAACTTCGCCGCAGAAAGCAAGAAAAGAAAGTTAGCGTGAGATGGGCACTAGTATCTATATAAGCACACACGAAATCGTCATTTAAAGTTTCATGAAGTCTCACTAGGAGTCTCCCACACGCTCGGTGACTTCGAAATCCGTCGTCCTCACCAGCACACCTGAGAAGCTGAGCGAGAGATAGGGATATCCCGAGCTTCACAATACTGTACTTTCAAGCCGATGTTGCTGCTCCTCCTTTTCGATTATTGATGAGGCTCTCAAAGGCAAAGGGCACGACTTCTCGTGCCACCAAGCTTCTAACTCCACATTCCACGAAATGGCTAGCATTCTCTCCTGGTACCCATGAGCCTAAGAGGCTTGAAACAGAAGTTCCGAGTTCGTTCCAGACGGCGAAGGCCTCGACACGCGAGGCCGCTTCCCACAGGATCCCCATCACCATTTTCTGCGATGTTCCCGACTCCTGTCAGGAGACGAGAGGAAAATGGGATTCGACGTGTCCACTTCCCGTCCCGGCAAAGAAAAAGAGGGATCCATCATCCTCTTCATTAGTAAGTAAATTAGACCACGCCAAAGGAGAGCAAGAAGAGAAACGGGCTTGAAATTCTGGGAAGAGAAACTAGGAGAGAAAGGAGAACTCCATCGATTATTAAAATAGCCTACGTCCTGGGGTTACCATGGAATCCAAACTTACATGAAAGGACTTGACAGAGAGCGACAGCCCATTTATTTTAGGCCGATTTCCAAGAGAAAACCACATACCAAGTATCTCTGTTTGAGATGTGGCTGGCATGGCAATGCAAGTCGTGAATGAGGACGCCTCGAGAGTTTGTCCAAGCCCATTGAGATTGAGCCTGCTGGCATACGAGGGTCGTTCAAAAACTTATTGGCTTGAATGCCTTGAGGGCATTACTGGGTGCCTTGAGGGCATTACTGGGTATCTTGAGAGCATTACTGGAGAGACTGATGATTAAAGATACGAGCTTTTTGTTTTGAAGCCTCTTCTACGCCGTGCCAGGTTTTTATGAGTTGTATTAAAGCACCGATACGAGTCGGTGAACTCGACCCACTTTTGGCGATTGCCAAAAGTGTATTCCGAGTCGAAGCTTGAATGCACGTTCAGCATCTTCGTCTCCCTGCAAAGATAATCCATAAGGAGTTGGAAGCCGTACTTGGGGAGGCTTCCCCTTCGTGCGGATATATTACTTTCCTTCAGAGAGGGATGCCAAGACCTCACTAATGACCCACGCTCTGGGTGCCCACGCGGCTCGAGGAGATAATCGCGGCAGTTCGAGAAGTTGAGGAAGATCGACGTGTTACAGTTGACGTGATGGCTTGCGAGTGAGGCACATTAAAGGGGAGCATTAATGGAAATTCGAGGCAACACCTGCACGTCATGAAAGCCTATTACAAGTGAATGCCATTCACCCAACACAGACGTAGTATCAGAAACGAGTCGAAATGGCGCAGGAAATCCAGGATCTGTCACCGAATCCATTCCGTTCGTGCGATGCCGCCACTCTGGACGAAACCCGGCTACGTCATTTCGAAGTCGAAAGAAGTTAAACCATGATGGAAGGACCCGTTTCCTTTAACGAGCTGTCTGCCAAGAGGATCATGAAAGTCGTCTTCTGCGTTCATGGAGCCTCAAGTGCCATTGATAGTACCATTACAGTAAAATGGTATGCTTATGAGTGCCCCTCAGAAATCCCGAAGCAGCTGGTAAAAAAAAAACGCCAAGATTACGATTGTGAAATTTCTCACAGAGGGAAAGTGCGTCCTTTGTTAATTCTCCTACTCATTCATTCACCATTTAAGTGATTTCTACTAATTTCCTCGGATCCAGGCTCCCACGGCGAGGCATTTTGACAACCTTGCAGGCCCTTGGAAGGACGCTTCGAGCAGTCGTGTCGACCATGAATCCGTCATGGACGATCGACTGAGGCGGATTGAGACTTCGCTTTTAGTGGCAGTAATGACTGCTTCGCTGGACTCGTTCTCCGGAGTCGATAACTTTCGGATTGCTTGCCACCGCTTGCCAGGACGCAAAACGTGGGAGCATTTCGACGAAGGAGGATCTGTTTCCGCATCCTAATCCTGAGGCGTCGACACAGAGTCTTCGAGTCAGATTACGTCGGTGTCGGGGTTGCAACTCCCTCGGGAAAGTGGGAGCGTGTGTGTGGCATGCAAAGCAGGGGAGAGAGAGAGAGAATCCAGCAGGATTTGCCTTTAATAAATCACGGAGACGATCAAGCTCGGTTTTTCACTTTCTCATTCATAACTCTCTATTGAACTCCATCCATGGGCGATCAGTCCCATTGGTCATGCAAACCATCACCGATTCTGGCCCACCTCTCTCGGCTGAATCGTGCCGATACTTCTCTAGTTTGCGTGAACTCAGAGGACGTCCTGTCACAATTGACACGAAAATGCATGTCGTGCGGTAACAACTGTAATGGTCTGTCACGGTATCACAGAATGGGTATGTTAAGAGACAACATGCACACCATTTTGATGTTTTCCTTAATTTTATTCAACTTGAGATTCCCTTGCATCTACTGTATATGTATGTCACCGTCTCCCTCTGGGAGCGACCAACACGACTAGGTGTTGAAGTCCTGCACTTCCTCATCCAGACATTTCGGTCACCCCATATTCTACTCGATTTGATGCCATTTGGTTAGCAACGGCCGTCGATGCAGGTACGCTTCTCGTGGAGGCAGATCGACTTGCGTTGGACTGGACTCCACTCGATCGAGCCATAATTCATAGTGCAGATGGCTTTGCCCTGGAGGGAGCCGCACTTCCGATGGGTGACGATGGAGCCCTCGATGGGGGTACGCGTCCGGTGAATGCCGACGAAGCGGCACCTGATGGACTTCCTCTTTCACTCGATGGCGGTTGATTGGTTCTGGAAGAAGCTGAAGGTGCGGCCGTGGAGATCGACGCACCCGTCGAGTCTGAACCCTTTCTGGAGCTGCGAGGCGTTGTAGCTTCACTTTCACTCTGGGACGATGCCTGATTCTCAATCTCACGTGCGTGTGAGGGGGTGGGCTCGCGGGGCTCCTGGGTCGTAGAACTGATCGGTACAAATTAGCCCTGGTTGAAGTCGAAGGGACAACCTCAATTGGAATCGCGGCTGAGCCCTACTTCTAACTGCACTCGATGAAACTCAACTACCAGCTGTTGCTGACGATGCTCCGCTCGTAGATGGAACAGATGTGACTTCGGTCGCAGATGTGCTGGCATCCGATGCAACCCACCGACTGTCTCTTGTGGGCGGCTTCGTCGAAGCGGCCCTCGATTTCATCATTGGACCCAATTCCATGACGGTGAAACTAGGTGGTGCGGCCGAGTTCGGTTGTCCTGATGCATTGGGTCTTGACTGAACTATTTCAGTTCTCGATCAAGGAAGTGTCGGTGCAGTTTGTATTTCTGCCGGAGCTGCACTCAGTGCGGTTTGAACCCCTCTGACTCCAGATGAGCCAATTTGAACCCCTCTGACCTCTGAAGGGGCAGATCGATCCTCAGTATCACCAAACGAGGCGACTCTATTCCTGCCAGCACCCAGCACCCGATGCCGACGGAGCAGATTCACCCTTGAATTCTGCTCCCTTGCTCCGGCTCTTGCCTCGACTTTGACCTTGGGGTCAAAGGGTCGAAGTCCCGACACGACGCCCTCATATTGCGCCCTGCCCACAAAGCTGCCGAGCCAGTGCGTGAGAACATGATCTTTGAGTGCTGTCTAGGCAATGCAGTGGTATTGTTTCCCTGCTGCTATCACGAGGTTCAAGTATCCTCCGGTCATCCTCGCGGCTGATGGAGGAAGAGCAATTTCTTTTAAGTTCCGACAGAACGGGCTACATGGAGAATGATACTCCGTACCATTTTTTCGCTTTTCTCGGGGGGGGGGGGGGGGTCTGAAGTGGATGGACGGGAAAGTAATGAGGGGCCTTTCACATACTAGGCTTAGGTATGTGGACGCTAAGTGATATCGAGGACCGAGGGCAGAAAAGGAGCAGTTGTTTGTGACAGTGAGTCCAACTCGAGGGTTCTCGAGTATCAATCAAGGGCATAGGAACCGGGGAGGGGGCAAGGGTGGCAAATGCCCCCTCACTTTTCCAGATGGGGGGCAAAGGGTATCTTTTGCTCCCCCCCCCCACTTTTAGACCTTAGAGTAATGAGTACACTGGCAAGCTGCAACTTAAGATCCTTCGTGGCATTCAGTGGGGTTTGGAAAGTAAATTTATCTCGAAGCAAGGTTATCTCGAATCCCCCTCAGGCATTAGCCTGAGGGGGATTGGCATAGTGGGGCACACTTGATAGGCGCTCAGTCAGAGTTCTTTTTGTCTCGGGTCCAAGATTTCCCATCCGATTTGACTTCTCCTCCCTTCTCTAAAATCTTTCCTGGAAAAGATGGGAGGCTCCTTCAGGCATGAATCTGGCTTGAAACATTTTAACGGTAGAACAGTGATTACGAGCTTTTTGATTTCATTACGAAACCAAAGATGGCAAAATATGAAGAAAATTCAGGAATGGAAAACTTCAACGGTGTTGTGTTATCGATCGTCCCTGTGGACAAAATCGCACGGGAACCTGTGCCTGTTTGTGAAAGTGGTCCTTCTTAGCCGCAAAAATATCATTTCCCTAGAAAAGGGGCTAGGGCATCCGATGCGAACTACTTTGATATGTGGCCATAGGTTTCATACATGCCCGCGAAAGACGCAGTTTGGTGCTACGTATGTTGCAGTTGCATCGGCAGAGAGTGTTTCTCGGCATTGAGGCGGTTCAAGAATTGGATACAGACGACGACGACACAACGACGTCGGACAAACGTCGCATTGATGCGTGCACATCGAGACATTTTGGACTACTTGGAATTAGATAAATTGATTACATATTTCGAAAAAAAAAAACGAGGAAAGGAGAACATAATCATTTTTGTTTCACATGAATTTGCTATCTGATCATCTTTAATATAGTATAATAGTAATTTTCCGGATTTCAGATCTGATCTCTCTCGTTTTTCCCCCCACTTTTGAGGACGTTCCTACGCCTATGGTATCAATGCATCCCTGTTTGTGAACGCCTAAATTGTGACAGATGGGTGAATTGCGGAATGCTGGGGGGGGGGGAGCGAGAACCTGAAGAAGACGATGGCTGTCGGCTTGGAATGGAGGAGGCCTTGACCGGACTGATGTACTCGTTCTGGTGGGAAACGAGGAGCTGCCTGGAATCGGCGTCGGCCGTGGAGCTAGCTCCGTCCGAACGTGCGATACGGGACCACGGTCGCCATGACCACCGGGTATAGCATCTCGCCGTAAGGCGGATACATTTTTACTGCAATATCACGGGTGAAGGTTTTCCTTAAACGATTCGATAAAAGTTATGCAAAGTTAGATCTTAACTCGGTTGAAACTGACGAATTCGAAGGAAAACATCCTCGACGGCATCGTGAAAGTCGCGAATCCCGTGCCGACGTACCGACGCCGGCCTCGAAGGCGACGACGATGGCCTCGAAGGTGACGACGATGACCTCGACGCAGGTGAGTTCGAAGAAGGTGACCCAGACGAGGCGGTCGTCGCCGAAGAACCTCTAGATCCAGGGCGCAGTAGAAGACGAGAAGAGGGCCGAGCCGATGCTGATCGTCTCGGGCTCGTCCATCTCGGCGTGCCTCCATTTGGGGTAAGGGGAGTCGGTGTAGGGGGGGTCGGGGCATCCGACGGAGCAATGGGCGGTCGCCGTCGTCTCCATTCTCCAGAGTCGGTTCGGTTTCAGCGGCATGGGACGTTTCTACGTGCTTCCGGGGTCAAAGGGATCGTGGGATCAAAGAGGAGAGGAGGCAACTCGATAAAGCGAGACGAGAACGAAACTTTTTGATAGGATAGATACGTACTGCAGCTCGGTTACGGAAAGGCGATTATTAATCATTGATGCCTGCGTCTGATGAAACTACTTTCTTTCTGGCTCGTCGAACGCGCGGCGGCGCTTTGAAATTTCGGGCATCCACTCGGGAACGAATATCCATAATTGTATCGCTCGATGGCAAAGCAGCATCGCGCTGGAGGAACGGCGCATCGATGAAAGCGTCATCGAGTCGATGGCAGCGGATGAATATTGCTCATCGAAGCGAAACGAGGGAATTACGGAGCGTCTGCTCCGAGTTTCTTAATCGCATTTTGCCCGCCGGAGATGCAAGTTTCGTGGATTTCGAGCCGGCATGCGAAGTTCGCTCTTAAGAAACGAAGTTTGCGATGAAAGGCGGCTTCCTTTCATCGCGGCGCTCCTTGCGATGCAAGGGGGAGGCTGCATCTCATCTATCAAAAACTGATTGACAGCACGGAGACGTTATTCGCTAAGTGCCTCGCTCCTCGAACTGCCAGCTGCTCCCGAAGATGCTTTGTCCCATCAACATGCTCGGCGAAGGTCCCCCCCTTCAGAGAATAGTCCTCGAACGGAGAATAAATCTCTGAATGACCCTCATTTGCCCATACGGAGAGGCGGCGTCTTTACCGTCGTTGGCCATTTTTTTTTTCCTCTTTTTCCGTGCTTCGGAGAAACTCCCATTGATGTCTGGAGCGGCTGCCCGTTCGCCTGCGAGCCGACTTTCTTTTCGTTCTTCCACTGCACTTCCCATGATTATAGCTGGCGTTTTCACGACATTTCGAGTCGGCTTCGCAAGCATGACTCGACTCGCCATTCTCTCTCTAGGGTATGTTCGGGTTACACGAGGGCATGGAGTGAGAAGTCTTTCCATTTGTTTGCGGAGGTCAGTGACCTTTTGCAGGTTATTTTGCTTCCCAGTCCCGTCTCGGCTTTCGTTTGCCAGTCTGGCGCTTTTGGGTTCGATGTATCGATTCGATCGCATGCTCTGCCTTGCTTCAAACCCACATGATATAGCCGCCTACGCCCGTCATGGTTGTCGTGTTCTATTTCCAGGATGCTATTTGGCTATGAAATCGGTCATTGAGGTTTGGGGCATTTAGGAAACTCGTAGGGCGCCGGGATCAATCGAAGGAAAAACAGCTTGAGCGAAAAGGAGCTTTATTTTCAACAATGTCAGCTCGGATCTACGAGCAACAAATACTATATGAGGAGCAAGGCTATCAAAAACCATTTAAACGGACCGATAGAGACAACTAAGAGCAAAATATTTCAAAATAAACGATATGACCGAAGAGAAAAACCTAGACTCCATGCGCCATGTTAAAGTTGAATATCCAAGATGTAAATAAATAAAAACACACACGTTTTTTTGGCGTAAGGGATAAATTAAAAGACATAAATGAATATTAACGGGGTAACTATTCCTCTCCAGAAGCGCCTTATTTGAAGAGGACTGAATTTGGACTGTAAGGAATGATGATAACATCTTTTTAAAACATAATTAGGAATATTGAATGTAAGGTTGAAAGAGGTTCAACCATGAAAGAGAAAATAGGATTCTCAGGATCAGGATGATAGGAAGGACAAGTTTGGCAAAAGGTCGATAGTAAAACTGCTGTCATGAGAAATGACTATAATAAAAAAGAATGCCTTCAAATTGAATTAATTTGAACTGTTTCGTGGGGCATGCAGAACCAAAGTGTATTACCGTCTTTCCCAGATAGGAGAAATTATGCAAATGAACTCAGAATTGTCTGCAACAGCAATTTTCAAGGCAGAAAATAGTTTCTGGCCCTTTGTTTTCCCTCATACTTTCAAAGTAATTGCTTAATTTAAGAATTGATAAAACAATGAAAACCTAATAAAACCCAAAATTGCTTAGCTTTTGACAGAGTTTTACTGAGAAAAAAATACCAAAAGAAAAATCTGGACGAATCTCATGTATCACTCAAAGGTTACAAGGGGCACAGATATTGCCTCAAAAGCGCATTGCTAAAGATTCGATCCTCCATCTCACCAATTTTTTCTTTTGACTGCTCTAATGATTCCTACTTGAGAAAAACTATGCTTCTCTCGGCTCATTGCAAGCCTTCAAAGAGAACATGACTGATGTGGAAGTCAGACTCTTCAACAGGAACCACTTCAAAAATCTGTTCCTTAAAAGCCAATGCTATGGTGGAGGGTTTGCAAGGCAACTGAAAGCAATCGGTAAGGAAGCGGTCGTAGTAACCTCTACCTCTTCCGAGGCGCAATCCGTCTCGTGTGAATGCCAAGCCGGGCACAAGTACAAGATCCAAGCCACCTGTCGGACGAGAACCACGTTGAAAGCGACATCAAATTGGGTCAGCCCTCCACCTTCCACCAAGGGAATAAATGACCTGATTCCAGGGCGTTTGGCCTAGAATCCTCCAGGGGTGGTTGCTTGATGCCCCAAGAGTTCAAAGGAAGACTTTCCAGGTCTTTTAGGGAGTACAATTCCACCATGTCCATTCTTGGGGAGCCCTTTTCATACCTAGTGTCATAACAGGTCCTTGTAGTAGTGTTGACTGGACAGCATTCTTCCAGAATACAACCAGCATCCATACCTAGGTATAAAGCAGGATTTCTTTTGCGCAAACACATCCTCCACAATGGGACGGGTGTCAATCTCATCCTCCATGCTCAGGTAGAGGGACACTCGTTGGGCATTCTTGTATGCATCTGTATTCAGAAGCTGAAAGAGAATAAAAGTTTCCATGAAAATAATGCTAGCATAATCAGAAGCCACAGACAGTCGTACCATAGTGGTGACGACAAGAGATTGTCGGGCCCTTTCCTCAATGGACAATTGGCGCAACTTTTCCTTCACCGTCTTCCTCAAAGCACTTTTTAGGAGCTTTATGTTTTGCATCACCTCTGGTATCCAAGACCTACAGAATTGGTTTAGATGAAACCATAAAATGTTTTAATGCAAAGAATGCCCATCCAGAGATGGAATGATGAACACTGGAACTCTTCAAAATCTGCTCGCTATGCCAACCCCTTGAGAGTGGCAAGGCTGCAAGTGCAGAAACTCTTTCAATTCCTAAATGATGGAAGAGTCTATTTAAATGAAAGATATTCACATGATCAGAGAAAGAATGGATATACATGGAAAAAATAAAAGTTATTTATTGAACCAGCTGGTAAAATAGAGTTAAGCATATTCATTGTGAATATTATTTATGATAAAATTGGCTCTCATGGCTTAAATGTAATATTTTATTTATGAGCACCAACAGGATCAACACTGGCCTCCTATCAATAAGAACATTCAGCACCCCCAATGAAAGGCATGTCAAGAAAGTAAGCATGATACATTTCAGAGCTTTGCTCTCCCATGAATGCAATCCACAGCTTCTCCTGCTATGAGTTCATTGATATCTGACTCTCCAAAGCCAAGTTCTGCCAAGATTTCTCTTGAATTTTCCCCAATCACAGGGCTATGGGTGGCTTTTTGTGAGGGGACTTCGGACAGGTGAGGTGCAGGAGATGGTTCCAGTTCCCCTTTTTCATTTGCGAAGAAAGATTCCCTGGCCACATTATGTGGATGCTGAGGGGCTTCTTTCATCTCCAGCACAGGTGTCACACATGCATCTGACTCGTGGAATATCTTCTCCCATTCTTCCTGAGTCTTGGTCCTGAAAATAGCTGCAATGTGTTCTTTGTTTTCCTCCCACTTGCTAAAGTGTTCAAATTCAGATGGTGAAAGGCCCAGCTTGGAAATAAATTCATGGAAGAACTGAGGTTCCAGGGCCCCCACTGCCATATACTTGGAGTCTTTTGTTTCATAAGTTTGGTAAAAGTATGCTCCTCCATCCAAGCTAGAAGAAATGAGAAAAAGGATATTTTGGAACGAGCAGGTCAGAAACCAGAGAGTGCTCTTGATGCTAGGACTTACGCATTCTGCCCCCTTGGCTTCCCCCACACAAACAAATCCTGTGACTTATAAAGCCAGCTGCTAACATAAGCTGCTCCTTCCACCATGCTTGTATCGATAACCTGACCTTGATTTGAGCGTGTTCTATGGAATAGGGCCATGACAATTCCCAGAGCACAAATCAGTCCTCCACCAGCAAAGTCTGCCAACAAATTCACTGGAGGCAGGGGTGACTCATTGCTTCTGCCAAGCATGGATAGAACACCTGGAAAAGTTTTTATAAAGAAAATTTGTGTTGATACTTAGGAAAATAGAGCATGCAGAACAAATTTAACATTAGAAATGAGCATTGGCTGAAAAGTTGAATCAGACACCCTTATAATCTCAATGATAAAAGAGCTTTGATCAGGTAGAACAGGGGTGTCCAACCAATGGCCTGCAGCACTTCTTGAATATTTTTGTAAATGTAATATTAATTTTTTTTTTAAATAGGTATTGTGGCCTGCAGGAGGTCCCTTAAGGGGCAATGCTACACAGTTGGGCAAAAAGGTTGCCCACCCCTGATGTAGAGCATGATAGGATTTTTCAACTAGAGAGCAACAAATCACAAGCTAACGTTTATAAACCAGTTTATGTTGAGAAAGCTTAAAGCATGTGACTTTGAAAGCTGAGAAAAAACTTTTTCTTACTGGAAGGTACTGAAAGTGTATTGAATGTGTGATGTGAAAGAAGATAGCTATATTTTGATTATTAGTTTCTACATGCCCAGCTGTCTCTATTGGAATATCAATGGATGCTCACAAATTCCCTGAGTCAAGTGATCTGTCTGCATCTGCATTTGTTGTACCTTTTCCTGACTTGGATTTGGATCTCACAGTTTATATCACAAGGATTGCATTTTTTAAACAGCCAAGTCTGGAAGAGCTTGAACTCAGGTTTTGAAAGGAGCTAATTTTTTCTTCTGAAAGAAACATTTGCATACATAAAAGTGGCCCAAATATTTACTGCATACTTACTTTAGTCATGTTGGTCACACAGGTCCTGACCTTGACCCCTTAATTTTGCTATAAATTAGCTACTGTGAAATGAGACTTTAATTTCATTTTTCTCCCAAAACAATGCTTATTAAACAGCAAAATATGTAATCAGTTTTAACAACATAATTTGTGGAGTTCAAATTTTACTTTTATGTTTCATGTTTTTGAAAGCTCTTGCTGCTGAACATTGTAGATTGAAATCTATTCACTGGGAGATTGAGAGGGGTAAACAGGACTCTGGTCAAGACTGACTTTAGCAGCAGACTGAAATGTCTACCATCTTTATATACATGATCCATAGATCAACAACAAAGGAAACCTACAAAAGTAAGTCTCAGAAAAGGCACATTTACATTTTTATCCCACTTGATTGCAGTCAGCAATATTATGAGTTGCAGAAGTAAATACCAGAAAGTGCTAGGTAGTTGATGTCATGTCCTGCTCGGTCTGCCAACGGCCCATTCTGTCCAAATCCTGTGAGTCGTGCATATATGAGCTTAGGGTTTTCAGACAGCAATACCTGAGGTCCCAAGCCAAGCTTCTCCATCACACCTGAAATGAGTTCAGACAGGACTTATGATGTAATGTAGTTCCAACAAAACAGACTCACATCCTAACTCACCTACCTCTTCGATAAGGGTCAATGAGTACATCTGCCCTCCTACACAGTTGGTGTGCCACTGCACGACCCTGGGGCATCTTCAAGTTCAGGGCAATCGACCTCTTGCCTCGCCCCAGCCTATCCACATCCATCAACGCTCTAGCCTACAGTTAAAAAAAAAGTTAGTCTCGTATCGTCCGTAAGTTGGTTGGAAATAACATATTAGGCCAACATGACATCACTGTAATAAAACAATCGAAGAAATGAAGCAGATGACTGACCCGATCGATGCGAATGACCGAGGCTCCAAAGTCGGCCAGGATCATCCCGCAGAATGGGGCTGGCGCAAGACCGCTCATCTCAATCACTTTTATCCCCTTCAAGGCCATGCTAGCTCGGAATCGCCTCCACTTTCTGATTCAGCAAGCGGCACTCATGGAGCAACACAAGCTGCCATCATGTTTTCAATGTTGTTGGGCCTGATCAACCTTGGCGCCAGCACATGCATTCCATTGGTCTGGATGATCACCATCTGCCTTAAGAGATGGTACAAAGTGATTCCATACTTCCATGCCAAAAATATATTCAATCCTTTTTTACTTCAAGGAGTAAAATATTATTATCTTTCGAAGCGAGACTGACGACTGGGGCTAAGCGCGATCCATTCTCCGTAGCGCAACACTCGTCACCGAAAGACTGGCGGGGAAGAGGATATTATTCCCCTTAGTTGTGGTGGTCGGTCAGCTGGTGCTGGTGAAAGGTCAATAGGGGTTTCGTTCCTAAAGGGCAATCTTCGCAGTTCTCGTTGAAAAGGATTCGTCAGTCTCTTCTAATGGAAGAAGTTGAAGATGTCCCTGTCATCGGTGAGTTGAAAATATGTAAACATGTTAGCCCGTAGTCTTTTGGACTTGTTATCACGAGCATGGCATGCCTCATGTATTTGTTTTGCTCCATGAGGATGAAAGCTACTTCTGAATATAACCTTTAGGCATTTCACGCCTATACCTATATAACACCTACTGGGGTGTTATAATTTCCTAAATTTTGGCAAAACTTGGGATAACCTAAGATGAGACTCTCTTGTAAGACTCTGCTCTTGGAAGCAGGAGTGTTAGGTGGTGAGCCAGCATAGGCGGCTATTCATAGGGGCTCAGGGGGCTGGAACCCCCCAAAAATTTGGTAGAAGAATAAGGAATACTTGGAGTTCTGCCTCTGAGCCCCCCAAATTTTGTCTTTGAGCCCCCCCAAATTTGTCAACAAATCGCTGCCCATGTGAGCCAGTGTGGTTAGACATGCCTGTTTCACTGTTACATCCCAAGTTTTCCAGGCTCTGCCCAAGTTTGGCAAATATACCATTTAAAAATATGCCCCTGATTTTGACCCAGGCCCCTGATTTTGAAGCCTGATGCTTTCACTTCTTCAATAGCATGCAGGTGTCTTTACCTTCCACATCCAGATTTTTGCCTCTTTCTTGCATGGAACTTTCTGAGTTTACATATACTTCAGGGTCTGACAGCTCATTGAAAATTTGATTGTTTAATTTTTGTTATATAGAATTTAGTTTTTGAAAAGTGGCCTCACAATTTCTTCGCATCTGGAATATAAGCCTCATAGAATGAAGTGGTTATTCTTTTTTAAGGTGCATAAACAAAATGATGCTGAAATATAGTTTTGAAGATACTACAGGTTTTATCATAAATTTTCCATTGCTGCTTGCATCAGTGTGATGAAGTTATTGTGGTATTGAAGATCTTTTCCTAACTTAAGAAGTATATTTGCTCAGCCCCTGTGCCTTCCAGGGTGGGTGGGGGGGGGGAACACTCCAAAGTTATGCCCTCATGGCAATAATTTCATATAAGTGGAAGGATTTTGGTAAGCAATGGAAAAGTGAGAAAATTCATAGAATAAAGATTTGTTGATTAAGATTTCTTAATCTTCCACATTTTGCAATGTGGAAGATGAAGCCTAGAGTTACTGAGGAACAAGTATTCATTTTTAGCTTTTGTGTCCCAGTTTTTCAGTCTGAAAAAATGTTGCCTCCTGATGAGCCCAACTGCAGCCCAATTATTAGATTTATGTTGAAAGCTCATGAGTAAACTTCTATCATCTACAGATCTGGATCAAGAAGACAGTAGTAGTGGAGATGCAAAGAGGCATTCTATCGGCAAAAATCATAAGCAAGGTAAGATAAGCTGAGGCTTCACCTGAGTTCCCTTAGATGCCCTATTAAGAGACAAAATTTTGTGTTTGAAAAGGTGCAGGTATGACTAGGAGACTTGAAAAACTTGCTTGGGATAACCTGGAACTTATCTCAATGACTATTTCATTCACTAACAAGAGAGCTGACTAGTGCAGCGCAAAAGCATGGAAATTTATTTTAAATGTGGCCTTTGTCACTTTCCTGCTGTCAGAGTGCTTATTTCAGTGGTTTGTCCTTGTGCCACAAGAGAGCAAGTGTAGCATATCCAAAAGTGTGTTTACTGTTGAATTAACCGTTCCTATCATGAAGATTTTTATCTTCTGCTTTCCTTCTAAACAGCATTTTTATATTTTATGTTTAACTTTCTGTTTTTATCTAGCCTGCTTCCCCCTGAAGATGGTAAATGGAAAGGCTACAAAGGCCCAAGGTTCTGCCTCCAAGAGAAAAATATTGGAGAATGAAAGGGAGAAGTCTGCTAATGATAAGCCGAAAAAACGCTTGAAGCTCAAGATTGAGGCAAGCCTGAAGCGCTTTGCTCATACAGATGAGAACCAAGTCAGTACAGATTCAAAGCCAGCCTCAAGTGTGAATGGTGCCAAGGCCACATCATCCAAGTCTTTCATGGAAAGCTTCCTTAAACATGTCAATGAGAAAGAGGTATTGCCATCTGAAGTCATGGTTGTAGATAATGAGGATAATAAAAATGAGAGAGAGAAAAAGATCTCATCTGAGAAGGAAGCTATTGTGGATGAGTCCTCTCCAGTCCAATGTACTCCTGACCTGAAGTCTGAGTTGTCCCCTTCTAATGATCTTGAGTCACCTTCCTCAAGAGTTCACGAAGGTGATGATCGTCTAAGCAGCCCTGACTCCTCATCTTATGATTGCAGTGACTCACTGAATGACTCAGTAGTTTCTGCCCCCCCTGATACACCTAGTGAGAAGGAAGTTCATGGAACTCCTTCTGCACGGTCAAGATCAGAGTCTCTGAAGTCTTCAACTAGAAAAGCTAAAGGATCTCTAGAAGAGACCCCTAAATCTGTTGCTAAGGATTCTGTGACTCCTCAGGATTGTAGTGAAGGGAAGAATACACCTCAGGGATCCTCAAGAAAGAAGTTGACACCCAAGCAGCTGAGCAAGAAGATAGAGTCGGAGAAGAAACGTAAAGAGAAGCTGAGAGCAAAGCAGGTCAGTATATCTCTCTCTCAAGAGTGGGATATTTGAAAATGTAGAGTTTTTCTGTAAATATCTTGTTTCTTATAGGAAATGGAGGAAAAGAAGGCAGAGGAGAAGGCCGAGAAAGAAAGGCTGAGAAAAGAGAAACTTGAGCAGAAGGAGTTTCAGAGGAGAGAAAAAGAGCGTGAAAAGGAAGAGAAAAAATTGCAACGAGAAGCTGAAATAAGGTATAGTTGATTGCTACAAATTTAAGTGATCATCCCTTTGTTAATTTTTACTGCACTGTTATGCATCTTCATGATAGGAAAAAAGAGGAAGAGAAGAAGCAAAAGGAGGAAGAGCGGCGTCAGAAGGAAGAAGAGAGACGTCAGAAGGAGGAAGAGAAGCGGATGAAGGAAGAAGAAAAGAAAAAGCAGGACGAAGAGAAGAAGAAGATGGAGGAAGAGAAGAAAAATAAGATAAAAAAGGCTCAAGCAGCATTTGCATCATTCTTTGTCAAGAGGGGTCCATCAGAAACTGTGATGGAAGTATCAGACTCTGACAATGTGGAAGGAAATTTCAGGGGATTCCAGGTGCAGTATTTTAGAGAGTAACATTTTGTAGCATTCAGTGCTTGCATGCATTCCTCCCAGAGTAATGTTGAATGTTGATTTGCACATGATCTTTAAGTATGGGTTGAATTCCCAGAATGGGTTCCATAGACCCAATGTCATGTCCACCTTGGCTGCATCATTGTGATACAATATGTTCATAATAACTTAATGTTTAAGGTGGTATTTCATTTGCAATGAACAGTTATTTGAAAGCAGAGCTGATGGGTCAGTTTGTATATTTTTATGTGCAGGTGAAGGAGGACATGAGATTAGCACCTGTTCATCGAAATGAATTGAGTCAGAGACAAAAAAGTTCCTTGGATGCACAGATGACTCAACAATCTGGGAAGGATCTGTACCTGAAACAATTGAAAAGTGGCCACGTCACACCTGGCACTAGTGGGCCGACCTGGCTCCTTGATCCAGATGAAGATGTTGTCATACTTGGTATGTGTTCCCTTTTGTACCCAGTGGATCAAATTTTATTTTTCATTGTGAAGTAATGATGTTTTTTGTTTGTTTTTTTACAGAGGAAGATAAGGAGAATTTCATCATCACTCACCGGAGTGATGGGAAGAGACTGAAAGCAAAGCTTTTCCAGTTTGAGGAGAACAACCGCCCACCATACTGGGGAACATGGCAAAAGACATCCACTGCCATCACTGGTCGCCGACCCTTCTACCAGGACAAGGTTTGTTGTGATACTAATTATTTTGTCAATCATCCCTTTTATCCTTCTTTACAGATTTTTTAACTGCCTTTCTTTGCATAGGCATTTCTGGATTATGAAGTTGATTCAGATGATGAATGGGAAGAAGGTGTGGAAGCAGGCGAGAGTCTTTCTGGTTCCGATGATGAAGAAAGTGAAGATGACTATGAGATTGACAATGACTTCTTTGTGCCTCATGGGTATCTCAGCGATGAAGAAGGCGAGAAGGATGAAGATGACAAACCTGTGGTATGAAAGTGGCATGTTTAGGCTGAATTCCACATATGTGCCATTACCTTATGTGTCATTGTCATATTTTCTGGCTTATTTAGGATCCAGAGCTACAAAAAGCAAAGCTGAAACTAAAAGCAGCAGAATTTGAAGCAAAAATCAAGCAAAAGACAGAAAAGCTTCACCCTCGCCTGATAGGTTGCTGTTTTGATCATCAAACCAATTCTGGTGAGTTGTTTTTATTCATAGACTGACAAACTTCTTTTAAAGCTTCATCACAACCTTTTTGTTGTTTTGGAACAGTCCATGAGCATATGCGTGAGATCCTGAGTGCATTCAAGGCAGTGTTCTTGAGTGAGAGGCCAATCTCAGTTGCTGCCCCACCCAAACCTCTAACACCAGACGTTTCCATAACTCCAGATAAAGGAAAACGCAAGGCGCTATCATCAGTTGAAAAGAATTTTCCTGAAGCTGGTATGCAAGTTGTGTTTCTTCTTTCTTCATACTGTGAATATATCCTGTTTTTATATGCATTTTAAAATGAGAATGTCAGAATAAGTTTTGAGTTTAATTTACATGCTGTAGCTAAGTATAGAGTTCTGGAGTTAAATATATTGTTTGAGAGCTGAATGTCATTTTTTCATTTTGCTGTAGCTGTGAGCCTTCTGATCAAGTTGGTGCATGAAAATCCTCGGAAGGGGTCAGCATTAATCAGGGAATTTCAACAGTACTGGGTGGAACGAGGGCGATCTGAGATTCAGGAACACCTCTCGACCCTCCCTCAGGTAAGAGCAAGTGTTTATAGAACCTATCATGAAAATTGGTGGAATTTCTCTCTGGTTCTGATAGGCTGTGTCTCTTGTGTCTTTAGGAAGAGCAGTATCGTCTACCAAATCGTTTGTCCAAGAGAAAGATCTACCAGAAGTTCAAAGAGTGTGCCATGCGGTGTCGGCCCAAGGAAAGTGGACCCTTTGCTTGGCATGTCCCAAAAGCAATCAGAGAGAAATATGGACTTGGGGATGCAGCCCAAGAGTGGGATTATGTGACTGATGCAGCCCATGCATTCCCTTCCAGCAACAACCAGACAAACAGAACTCAATCCTCATCTAAACCATCCACACCTTCTATTAAAAAATTCACATGCCCCGTGGAAGCTAATCCAGCCATGCCTCCAGCTTCAACCGAGAAGAAGCAGAAGATGGGCATCAAGAAATTCCTCACTGGGAAGAAGCCCCAGAAATCGCTGGATTTCAAAGAATCCAACTCTGCAATGGAAGTTGAATGCATTATGTTGGACTGAGGGTTCATCCCAACTAGGGTCCTCTGCATACAACTTTCTTCCTTGTGTATATGATGTGTGACGGTGTGATTATGCGATCACGATAGCCTTCTAAAGGTTCGACCTTAGCCTTTGATGTTTTTATGATGCACATTGTGTTCCTGCCTCCCTTTCAAAGTAATACAACGAGTTAGAGTTCTCTAATAATCCTGTCTTCCTTCCACAGATTTCAAATGCCTTTTTGTTCTCTATCTTCAGCCAATAGAAGTCCTTTTCTGCTTGCATACCTGAGAATGCCCCTAGGTTCCATCAGAACTGCTCAGGCTCGTGCCAACACTAGTGGACAGCCTCCATCTGTTCATGTTCTCTTTCTATTACAAACCAAAATCCCCTGATGCATTCTTGATGATCCCTTATATCAAAGAAATGAATTTCATTGTGGCCTATTGCATTAGTCATTGGCAGTCTTTCTCCATTCACCAGGCACACAATGCAAATTTACCTTCCATGGGCTTAATACCAATACCAATACAGCTCCATCTTGACTTCCATTGCTGGTCATTGTTAAGTGTGTTATTTATGAAAACAATTACCTTCGAGTAAGAATTATTTTCCAGTTTTTCCACTCATGCATACAAACCGAATTGTTACCACTGAATTATCTATTAAGAGTAAATGCAGGGTGTATGGGAAGTCATTGACTTGAAATTGTAATAACTTTAATAATTTTTGAAATGGAACAATTCTTTTTTGGGCCAAAAGAAACAGAATCCATTGGGGTTTTATGATTTCATTAGTGTTTTTGTTTGCATTGACCCTCCATGGTGCCAAAACTGACTATATCTGTTTTTTTTAGCACCAAAACTATTATTCTAGTCCAAAAATTACAAAAGTTATTACAATTTTAAAGTAGTCTGTGACTTTATACACCCTGTAGTTACTGTAACACTACTTTTCGTCGTCATTGCCAAACTGCCAGTGATGGCCATTCCTGGAGGGGGCAGGGAGAAAAATAGACTTTTTTGACTCGGAATTCTTATGCACTCATTGCATGGAGATTCATGAGCTGAATTGAAAAGGCAGAGACCTATGGAATGGTTATACTATGTGGCTTATGCTCCATGGCGTTGGGACACTGGTTGTAAGAAGCAGAAATTCCCACATGCACTTGCCATGATGCGGGTCTTGAAAGGCAATGCCACTGGAAAATAATGACCTAGGAGAACTCATGCAGTCTGGCTAATTACGACCCGAGGATGCCCGGGTGCGTTCCGTGCCACTTTTTTTTTTCTCCCTTCGGTTCAGTGGAGGAACGGAGGAATAAAGATTTCAGGGAAAGCCCCTTCGCGCATCTGCGAGGTGTCACCTCAAGTTTAATGGAAGCCGACGTTGAATGCGTCAATGAAAATCCGCTCGCTGGGTTATGTATGCCTGGTCGTCATTTTCAAGCTAAGAAAATGAACAGACTCGATCCTACTACCCGCCTCGACTATGTTTTTGCGAATTAAAATTCTCCAGCGGATTCGAGTTGTTAATTAGGTTTAAATGGCCAATCCGTTTCATCGAGCAAGTTGCATGGTCTTGGACCATGACAACTCCTGGGTTCATCTGTAGCGCGATGTGGACTCGCATTATACTCGCTCTCGACGAGGTGGGGCCGGAAGGAGGAATCGAAGACGAATCTCAGCTTCACACCATGAAATTCCAGGAATGCTTGGATTCCTTTTGCCGATGCCAGTTCTACGCCAAAACGGCGCACGCGCGTCTCCCTGCCAGCCCAATTCAAATCCGTATCTAGGTTAGTAGCAGCGCGTGGCCTCCTTCCCGGGATCTCATCCGAGGCCACATAACCCTATCCTGTCTCGACACTCCCAGGATTACAGAAATGGAATACGCTCGAGGTCGTGCGCATGCGCAGATGCAGGTGGATAAGGTCCATTGCATAAGGAGATGGGACCGCAGTGCCACTCGTGCAACAGGATCCTCTACCTAGTGCCCGAGGAGCAAGTACCGATGCATGGCGGCGTCCAGGTGACACGCTGCTTCTACCGGCGCGTTCTTCTTTTTAGGTCGTGAGCCTATGACTTAGACCTGTGATTGGTGGGAGGTCAGGGGTACGATAACGTTAGGCCCGCCATGATCTCCGCCACCTAACCGCTAAGTCATTTTGATGGCTTTGTGGGACGAAGTCGGAACGGAGTGAGAGGCTTAAGTGTGTCACGGACCTAGGCTAAGACTTTCAACCGGATGTGATTCTTTGCCAGAATGCTTTCATACTTTCGTGATTTCGAGGTCTTTTCCTTCGCGTCTTCCTCGAGACTTGTGAGAGGCTAAGTCGGGCATAAGTTTAGTCTAACGTTAGTGCCACTGAACTCAAGATGTCTAATTAGGCCTGGGCAATTTTTCGTAATGACTCAATGGAATGTAACGTTCATGCGCTGGAACTCTGCAGAGGGACGTGGCGTACCAAGGCAATTCGAAAGGCGAAGTAAATCCCAGGATACTGCTGCCTAATTTTAGATGTAGTCTGATGTTAGTCTCTACTTGGACTTAAAGTAGGTCAAGCCATTTATAGCCTGGAAAATGGGCCTTTAAGATATCCCATTTGATCAATAAGTAATCCACGTTAGATATATGGGCAAGTGTGAGATAGACTTAGTCTAGCCAACATTAGCTTATGGAATGGAAAATGAACCTGAACCCATGTCTATGCATTTGCAGGCCACTGTCCTCATCCCATAAGCCCTCTGGCCTACAAAGCTATCCTCTAGAGAGCATATACAACTTTTCAAGGGGAAAAAAAAAGAAAAAGAGGGAGAGGACCACAATGTATCCCGTAGGATATCAATGCTCTCACTGGGTGACTGATCCGTGGAAGCAGCAACAGACGACGACAGCCTCACAGCAACAGCAGCAGGCAACTCCAGTCACAGTTTCTAGTCACTTTCTTCCTTTTGGGACCCCGACAGACTTCTTTGGAGAAATGCACCTGTCACGGACCCAGATTCCCCCAGCCATCATGGCTAATGTGATGCCCATCACCGTGAATCACCGGTACATGAACCTTCACAATCGTAGTCCCTCTCCCACGTGGAACAAGCAGTGAGTCGCGTGTTCCCTATTGTGACGATGACTTTTTCGGAAGTGCTATAATGACTCCATGAGCTCTTTGCCTTTTGCAAGTGTGTACCTCAAATGCAGATCCCATTCTTGTGTATTCATATTGTATTATGATAGAAAGAGGAGCAGAACCACTTTCACGTTGAACTTTTTCTTTAGAGGGGATTATGACGCTCTTCACTCGGACGACTCAAGGAGTTCTGACGAAAAGGGGAAGGATGACCTGTTGGCCATGTCTACCAAAGATGGAAGGAATGTCATTTACAATCCTCCAGCGATCCCCAGCTACCGCTTCACTTCTCACTTTTCACAGAGGGGCCTGAAGTGAGTCTCAGCTAATATTTCTTGCAGTAATCTTCACTGTTTTTGATAACAGATCTAGACCTATCTATCCTTCATTCGTGTATATATTTTTTCAACCATGTTCTTATTCATAATTAATTTAAATGGATACCTTCCAACATTATTTAGCTTTAATGGTTGATCTGAAAGTCTACAAACTGCTAACTCTTGCAGTTGACATACCTGAGATTTTATCTGAAGTTTTTTTTCTGCCATAATTTATATGGAGCCTTTTTTTTACAGGCGGAGTTACGACATGCATCACGGGGGATGGGGAAGATCTGGGCATGGGGGACACCGGGGGTCAGGTCATGTGAAGCGTAACCGCTCGTCCCCTTCTCCTCCTCTCTCCCCTCACATATCTCCTCACATTTCCCATCCAGAGCATATCATCTACCCAAGGGAAGAGTTAGATCTCGTGCGTGTCTTCCTCTTTTCTTGTCCTGTGTCAATCCAGTCATATCCCTGTTGATTCTCTTATTTTTGTTTGTCACTTTGGGCCACTTAATTTTTTCATCAGCCTGGTGGAATGTAACATGCATTTAGTGCAGTGGTTGTAAAAGTAGTAGTTTCTATGGAATTAGCTTGCTAGTCCATTTTTATGATGACACTTAATTTTTATTAATCAGAATATAAAAAACCCAAGAATGGCTTAAGCCATGTTCAAGGGAGCAATCCTAAGCAGATTTTTATTTCTTTTTTTTCGCTCTCCCCAAAATCATCATCTTTTAAAACTTGCCGCGCAGAAGTTGCTGCCCCCTTACCTTTTAAATTTACTATTTTGAAAGTTCCAATATTGTGTTTCTCCATTATTAGATGTCCTAAGGGGATTGCACCATGCTGTCATAGGCAAAAAGTTATGCTTGAGCCACACTTTTTTTCTCAACAGTGTATTGCTGCATTGCAGACTGAAGCAGTTTTTACATAAGGTTGATTGCATTTAATCTATCATCTAGTAATTTGATGCCTATGGGTGCTGTAAAATTGATGTATGCATTGCCTGTAACTGAGTATCTTGCTGATTCTATTTGATTTCTTTTGGTACAGTTGTCTCAAGAGATCTGGGACAAATTCATGTCCATGCGGCAGGATGATGAGACCCTCTTCAGGAAGCACTACCTCCGAACTCGCATCTACACCATCATCAAGGTGTTCATGTCACCTGCTCCTGTTTCCATTTGTACCAATAAGTTTTCTTTAACTTCTTGCCAACTGAGGTAACAGCATTAATCTGCTTGGTTCCTGTCATGAACTTCCTCAGGCTGCAAAAAATTTACTTGATTGAGCTTGACATATATCTGTCTTTGCCAATCAACAGATGTCACTTCACACTGCAGTGCTGAACTTTCCTATATTGCTGAACATAACTATGTTCAAATCCTGAAGAGGATACACTCTATTGATCGCAGTTCCTAATGAACCACACATGCTGTTTTAACTTTTTCATTAACCAGACAAATTAACTTTGCATCAATTAGACATTCATTGCTGCCAAATGTTGTTTCATTGTATGGAGATACAACTTGAATGTTTTTTTCTCATGGCAGCATCATTTCCCATACTGCCGACTGTACCTGGTGGGGTCATCGATGACTGGGTTTGGTATTGGGAATAGTGATGTCGACATGTGCCTCATGATCTCCCCAGGCGATATCGACCAACGCAATGAGGCCACGCTTGTCCTCCGCAGGGTCTCCCATGTCCTTCGCAAATTCAGTTTGTTCTTTGTCTTCTTATCTCCACCTTAGTCACTTTTTTTCCACTATAGATCAAAATGTGAAACTACCTGTTCTGCCAGATTCTCACCAACTGATAGCAAAATGGTAAAGGGAAGAAATATAGCACTCATCAGCAGATCTGACAAAAGTCTTATGCAGTATACACTTTAATAAATGGCACATGATTTCCTGCTTATTTTCTTATCTATATGCTGCTATTGGCATTATTGGTCAGTGGGGGTGAGATGATAAGGAACTATCAGCTCATTGACTGTATGCATCTGTCACTACCTGTAATGGCATTCCCTTAAGTTATCACTTCATCTTGGACTGAATATTTGATTCAATAGTGTCTCGTTTTATGCAATTTAATTCAGTTAAAGATCACAATATTAAAAACGAGGGATAGGATAATTTCATTTTGTGTGTAAATTCAGTTAGGTTTTCTGCAATCCTCTACCTTGTACCCTTTAAGAATGCATTGAGACACCCATTCGAATGCATTTTTCCATTTTTTTGTGCCATTAAAGCAGAGTTTGTCACAAACTTGGAGCTGATCCGAGCCAAGGTCCCGATCCTGAAGTTTGGTGATGCAGTCTCTGGCATCGAGGTGGATCTCAACTGCAACAACTCAGTGGGGATTCGCAACACGCATCTCTTGTATGCGTATGCCAACGCCGACTGGCGCGTGAAGCCACTGGTCCTCATAGTCAAGCTCTGGGCTCAGAGGCAGAACATCAATGATGCAAAGAACATGACCATATCCTCTTACTCTCTCACACTCATGGTCATACACTATCTTCAAGGTCAGAACTGAATCTAAAAGTCAGCTCTTTAAAGTGCATGGTCTCCTGAAATTCCAGTTTTGAAGTGTTTCTTTGAAGGACATGAGAACCTGAGCTGAAACTGGAATTGGGTTTTCCGTACACTTTTAGTCATGCTTGTCAGTGAGCCATCAAAATGACTGCTCTGGTAGTTATAGTGTTAAAGTCCGTGCATGATGCTGTTTTAGTGTTGAATTTTATCAAGAACCAGTGATGCTTGAAATTCTTGCATCCACATCGCAAGAGCTTGATTTTTCTTTTATCAAAGAATCACTGGGAAAGTACTCAATTCAATTACACAAAGAACACTGGTTTCATCGTTGATGTGTTACGATTCAGAGTAGACGGAAGGTTAAAGTGATTTGAGGTCTGTTTTAGTGGTGGAGCCAGGGGTGGTGCCATCGATGCAGGAGAAGTTCCCGCATACATTCTCCCCGCAGAAGGCACTTCACTTTGTGGTACCAGGTGAGAATGTCGAGGGCCTCCTTCAGCCATCGCCCAATCGCACCTCCCTCGCTGAACTCTTCCTTGGCTTCCTTCACTACTATGCCTACGAGTTCAAGTATGCCTACCCTATCTTCCTATTCAGTGGGCAATCTCATGTTTACTTCTGGCTTTTGTTTCCTTTTTGGGACACTTTGGGGATCCATGTTTGGTAGAAACCCTAAAAGAGCATTTCCCAGTATTACTTGTAGTAGAGGCTGAATCAAGCAGATAGGTCTTTGACTCTACCTCTAACCATCATTCTTGCCAATGAGTGTTAGGGTCTTATATATTGTAAATTCTGTAATACATCTCTCTTAGATGATGAAATCTTGGCAGCAAAAGAAGGACATAAAGTACATTGCAAATTCCATCCCTCATGTGCCAGTGGCTTCAGCTCCACTCTTACCAATTCAGCAGAATTTGATATGCAGAGATTATGTTGTAGGAGCAGTGCACAACCAAAATCTACTGTCACTAAAAAAAAATAAAAATTCTCTTCCCTTTGTTGGCCCCTATTTCAAGTGGGAACATAATTTCACCAGGCACTATTCTCATAGTGCTTTTATGTATAAAATTTAATTAAATTTTTGTGAGGCAAAGCATGAAGCCTCTTCAATTAAATGACATGCTTGAGGGAGAATGAGTTGCATGTTTCACATTAGAATTCTTATGAAGGTTTTGCGCCAAGATTTTTTTGGGACTATCTGACTTTTGATTTTGTGGTCCAGGACATATGACACTTTCCTTATACCAGGCCTTCTTTTCTTTTCTTTTTTGCCTGGCTCTTCTTTGGGAAGGTGGGCAATACATGCATGGTTGTAGAATTTCATCAGTTGTTCTTAACAATAAATAATAAAGCTATTCCAGAAAGTAAAAGTCAAGTTAAGATCAGTTTTAAAGTGAAGTTAAATATATTTAGTACATATCCCCTGTTTGGGTTGTTATAAGCATGGTTTATGAAGTAAAAGGAAGTGGGAGATGATTGCAAAACATAGCAGTAAGCAGTAGCAGTAGGTGTTTCAAGAATTTGTGGAACCAGGAAAAAAAAAATATTTTTTTTGGAGGGTTGGGAGGGACTACTTATTGGCAGGCCAGGAAAAATCAAGTGGGTAATGAGGTTTGGACTAAGGATGGTGCTGGCTCTAGCAGAAACAATTGATCATCTCTGTTTTCACTCTTACCCTTTTACCTTTACTCCAAGAAAAATCAGTTCTTATCAGATGTAGTCATCCAAATGAGAATCCTGTCTTAATTGTCTCCAGACTAGTTATGTAGTCTCAGAACTATTGGTTTCTTCAGATGATTGAGCTTCTTGGTGATGGTTCACAGAATCGATTCAAAATATCACCTCTCCTGAGTCCTTCCCTTACTGATGTACTTGGTTTACATCATTGATGATTGCAGCTATGCAGAGCATGCCATCTCGGTGAGGCTAGGGAAGGCCGTTCCCATCTCGCTGTGCCGCTATGCTGGCTCCCCCAAGAATGATCCCTTTCAGTGGAAGTGCCTCTGCATCGAGGGTGAGTTCGTACAACTTTGTGCATATATCCTCTGAATGAAAGCCTAAGGTGCTGCACATATTGCCTTTGCTCAGATATGTTGAGGAAGTTGAAGTACTTGCATTAGTTGATTTTTCTGAAGAAAAGCTTTGGATTGCACCACAGTTACCTCCTGCACTCAGTGTCTGATGTCTCTCATCTCAGAGCCCTTCGACCACACCAACACGGCGAGATCGGTGTACGACGAGAAGACGTTCGAAGGGGTCTTGAAGGTCTTTCGCTGGAGCCACGATCAACTGAAGAAAACACAGAACCTGGGATCCATCCTCAGCGAACGTCCCATGCCCGAATGACACCCACTTCCCATGCTGCAACTATTTTTTTTTTCCCCTCTTTTTTCGTCTCCATGTTGCAACAACCACGTCCGATAAGTCGGAGCCCCTCCGAGGTCGGCCGCACTCGTGGAGTTCGAGCTTTTAGATTTGCTCCAGCTGTGGGAATTTTTTTCTCGTGTCCACGTCTCCGACTCCAAGGTGCGACACTCGGGATGGAAGATCTCCGTCCCCAGGGAGGATGGGGATTTTTTTTTAGCAAATATCCATTTTATTTTGTCAGGGTTCACATATCTCTGTCTTCCTTACCCCCCCTGGGGTTCCCCCTCTGAATAGTCTTGCATTTGCTGACTCGCGCAACAAACAAAGCACGAAATTAAAAAATGAAAAAGGCAAAAAAAGGAGATAGCAGAAAATGCCAAAAAAAATTGCCTATGTATTGGCATTGGAATCTGTCCTGATCTCAGGGAGGAAAAAAAGAAAGATAATGCTGAGGCACCACACGAAATGTGTGTGGGTTTAGAAGCCTCACAAAAAAAGTGCAGATGGATGATTGAAGATTGAAAGGTGATAGTTGGAAATCTTGTGACACGGCTCCCTCTTGGTGCTGAAACTTGGTGCATCTCAAAAACGAAAAAAAAAGTTTAAAAAACCTCCTTTTAAAGGCAACTTCTTGTGTTTCATTTCGCATCCGTCCGCGATAGACGCACGGTCCCGAGTCCCTGGTGTACTTCAGGTACTTATTTTCTTATAACTGGTATCAAAACCCTTTAATCGTGCTTCTCTCCTGCTTGAAAGATTCTGTAAAGGTTGAGTCACTTTTTGGAACGCATTTGTGCTTCTCAAAAATATGCGATGGAATTGGGGAGGGAACAGTGGTGAAGATGGACCCAATTTGCAAACAATTCTTAATCATCGAAATCAATTTTTTTCTAACTTGTCGGGCATTTGCGAGCGCCAAGTTTCTCTTCGCCATGCATTAAGCAGTAATTCGCGTCTGGAATAGGGAGATGGGATCTTGGACTGGCTGAGGGATTCCCGTTCGCAGCAGACAGGGAAGTGAGAGACGAAAGCCAGTCGATAGTGGTTCCAGTAAATTTGTTCATTTTGACGCCGACAGGAGGCAGATGGAGCCCGTGACGTGATTATTCGCACGAATCTGCGCCTGTCTCGCAGTTCCCTGTCGTATGTGCGACGGGATAGGTGTCCGGATTACGCCGCTCTGGTTCCACCGAGAAGTTCGTGTTAAGCACGTGATCACCGGTCTGCGACTTGTGCTAGTTTTCATTCCCGTAATGCAAGTCGTTGAATGAGCGCTTTTTACTCATTTGATCTGAGAATGGCTGAATTTTGTTGCGTGATGAAACAAACCTTGTTTCGATTTATTTGCACAAACTTCGAAAAAAAAATTTTGAATCTAGATTTCTTTAAATCCTATACGATCTCAGGACCGCGAAAAATCCAAGTGAAGCAAGCCAAAGCTCTTTAACCCTTTGAGGCGCGGGGATTTTTTCGCTGCGAGCTCACGTGAGCGGTTTTTTTTTTCCCGGAAAATTGGTATAATTACAAAATTAAAAATTAATAATCTCCCCCACTTCTCCTTCACTTTCACCGCTTTGTTCACTCTGATATGATTCACGATCGAGAAAAACCCGAAACGTACCGGTACGCTCGTGCTGCTCAAAGGGTTAAAGTCCGCCAAATTAACCTGGAGGTTAGCATCGGGTTACTTCAGACTCGGAAGACCTGGCTTCGGAACATATGGATCGATCGTGGGCGCAACTATGACATGGCGGTAATCGCAGGCAGAAATTGCGAGGACGGAACGAGCAGACCCGCCGAGAGGCCCAGTCCGGTCGAGGGTCGCCTTTTCGATGACCCACGGCGGCGTCATCCGGCGACCGGTGCCGGAAGGGCAGATGAGCGTTGCGCATGCGCATCGGATTGACCTCCAGGATGGCGGGCGGTTGCGACTGCGTTTCGTCACGAGTCGTCTGAATTTAAAGTTCTTTGGAGATTGGAGATTAAAGGGGCCGAAGGCCTGTGTCTTCGCCTCGTATAAATTCCCTTTCCCGCTCTTTTTTTATTTTTTATTTTTCTTGCTCGGGCCGATATTTTATGAGCCTTCGTCGAACGACGGCAGCCGGAAGAGACGTACGGTCGGCGAAGTGCCTCTTTCCTTCTCGGCAGGGAAAAAAAAAATAGCAGGAAGATAGAAAGAGGAAAATGCGATTAGCGATTTTCCGCTCGAAATCCCCCTTTGTCTCTGCAGGAATTCCCGGAATGCTCATCTCCGGACGGGAATCTCCTTCCCTCCCGCTGCTCCCGACTCGGATCTTCATCGTTACGTCACCCCGATCTCCGTCGTTACGCCCGATCGGCGCAGGATTTGCCGTGGCGAATGCGCGAAGCGATTCCCCGAAAGTTCATCGAGAGTTCTTATATTCGCCGGCCCCTTAACGGACTTCGCCTTCGGTCGCCGGAGGGAGACAGCCCGGCAACCCCGAAAGAAAAACTCCCATCTGGAACCTGCATTCCCAGAAGTCGTCGAGTTCCCGCTGCCGTCGGACGGTGGAGGCAGGGGAAATTCCCAATCGGCTATTCGAAGCTCGTCGAGAGCATGAGAAGTGAAAAGCGAAAAAAGGAATTCCTCCGGTCCTTCTATGGACTTCGTATCCGAGTCGGACTGGGTTCTCCGAGCTCTACCGTCGAGTCGCGAAGCGTTGGTTCCCTCAAGCAGGAAGAGATGTCGCCAACACGCTCCTTGCCCCCGTTTCTCCTTGGCATGCCAAGTCTCGTCCACGATAGGCGACGATGACGCCTTTTCCCTCTCTTCAACTCCTTCCCGTCGCAGAATCCAACTTCCTCGTATTATTCTCTGAGAGCATCTGGAGGAAGGCATTTCGGCATGCTTCACACCCTCTCGACAGAATCGCTCTGGCAAATTAGAGGCTTCGATTCCCCGGGGTTGCGGATTCTCACTTTTTCCACATATTGATTTTTCAACAGAACGATATCGAGGTGTAGATCGCGAAAAGTGGAATTTTTGTCTTTTGCGTCATCAATTCGCTACGAAAAATGAAGTAGTTGTCGTTCATTTCGGCTCAGCGTGCTGGCACGGTTGCTGGACATCGTCGGATTCGTGACTGGTTCGGCCTTCGTATCGGCGTCTGGATCTTCTGATTTTTTTTAATGCAGAAGAAATTTTGTTCTCGACTCGTGGGATGAGCCTAGATCGAAACGGCGGTCAGCAAGGGCCGTTTCGTGCGGTGGGACATCGAGACATCGCGCATCCCTGAATCAACAAGATGGCGCCCAACGCGCATTTCCGTCCCAGAGGAATTCTCTCCTTCAAGGTCGTCGAGGTGGTTCGAGGAACTCCAGATAGGCCTAACGTCACGCGTTCGCACTGAAACAGTTCACCAAGCTCGAAACATTCTCATATTCCATCTAACGCTACGCGTCATCACCGATTTGTCTGTATAGCCTAAAGTAAAATTTAGCCACTTATTTTTCTTGAAAATGATATGGGAAGCTCGAGTCGGTGTTGCTTTTGCACGGTCTATGTGTCTCTCAGAAATGTTGGGATCGGGGAGGGAGCAGGGGGGATGATCGTTCCCGTTCGATAGCGTGATTATTTGCTCATCGCGGAATCAGACTCGGGTCGACGAGAAGCAGGAGAAGGCGGCGCTTGCCGGGTCCAACTCGGTGGATGGGGTCCGTCTCCTGGAGTCTTTGCATGCCTTTCCCCGTGTTTTCTCCGGTTTCGATGCATTCGCGTGAGCTCGATTTGCCGCGTTGTCTGTCGTGTGTTTCACCGGCGATCCGTGCGGTAATTTACGTGTTCACCGTGGGTGACGCGAATGCGGATTCATGAAAAAAATCCGGATCATCCCGAGCAAATATAGTATCCACGCTAATTGATGATTGTACATCTAAAGGCTTCAGATTTTGGGAAGCCTCAACATTGCCAGTGCCAACTGGGTAAAAACAAGTTGCAGCCAACGTGCACAGGCGTTTTGGAAACGCACAGTCCGAGCGAGACGATCGAACTATGCGCGAAGGGACGATCGCGGGGAGAAGTCGACGGCTAGGAAGAGTTTCTTTTTAAACTGACGAAATGCAGCACTTAGATTCCCATGTACGTCGATCTTCATTGCTCATTTTGGAGGAAGACCAAGAGGGGAAATCCCTTTGGACTCGGTTAGGAGACGTAAGAGTAAATCGACGAGACAGAAAGGGAGAAGGAAATACGAGCGTCGGGGAAGCAAGGAAGCAGCATGTCGTCCAAGCACGGAACATCATCGAGGTCTTCCCCGAACCAAGGAAGGCGAGGGAGGGCGTTCACTCGACGGTGACGGCAGGACGAGGAGGATCCGGCCCGGGTTGCATGCGCCTCGAGTGAGTCTCATGTTACGAAATCGCATTTTTACTCGCGTCGACGTGGATACGTATAATGCGTTGGGCGAAGGAAAAAAATTGGAACACTGCAGCTGTCAGATGCTCGAGAGATGATGGAGTGGCTTCTACGAAAAATATTTATCTTCGTTGAGGTAGGCATATCGTCGATGAAGAGGGGTTCTTCAACTCCGCTCGGAAAATCAATATTTACCAGAAAGCCTCGCAATCTCGAAACCTGAATGATGTAAACAGTGTTTTGAACTGTCGATCATCCGCGACCAGGTTTTCTCCTAAGAGTTTTTACATTTCTTTTTTTTTTAATTAGGGAAAATCTATTTTGCCTACCGATATCCTTGGGAATCATCCAGGTTTCGCGACTGCATTCACGCTCTCCGACGAATTTTTCGTGCCGATCGTCGACTGTTGAGGCCGGTGCTTCCCCTAGCTTGAAATTTCAGCTCGCTTGAAATAGGGCTTTTTTTCGGGCCACCCAGAGATCAGAACCACGAATGAATTTTCCGGTTTTTCTGTCAGACCGGCTGCTGCAAAATTTAATTTTTTTTCTTATATTTCCTTCATCGGCGCATAGATGTCGCCGGATTCGTAGAGAATGAATGATCCGTCTTTGCCATCGTGTCAACTTCCGTTCGCTAGATGTCACTCGGATCGATCGATGCCCGGGTTCCTTCTCCTTCGGATGCGCCGAGGATTCCCGAATCTGCGCTGGAGTCCAGGATTGATTCCTGTGTTGTGAGGCTCCTCCG